ATCACCTCTGTGGACCAGCCTGGACCTCAGAACAGCTAAAGTCCTGATCACCTCTGTGGACCAGCCTGGACCTCAGAACAGCTAAAGTCCTGATCACCTCTGTGGACCAGCCTGGACCTCAGGACAGCTAAAGTCTTAATCACCTCTGTGGACCAGCCTGGACCTTAGAACAACTAAAGACCTGATCACCTCTGTGGACCAGCCTGGACATTAGAACAACTAAAGACAAGGTCATCTCTGTGGACCAGCCTGGACCTCATAAGAACCAAAAGCAAATGATCACTAGATCTAAAGAATCTGGAGAGCACACCAGACTGCAGGAGGTCAGACAGCTTTAGAGCAGTCTGTCCATTGAGGACCTTTTAGGACGATGATCAAACTTTAAAATCTATTCTAAAACAGACAGGGAGTCAGTAAAGCACCGCGAGCACCGGTGAGATCTGTTCCTGCTTCTTTGTTGGAGTTCATGAGAGGCGGGCCTGACACCAACATACTGAGAGGTACAGTGGTCCAGCTGGGAGGCATAACAAAAGTATTAATCACCTGTTCAAAGTCTTTAAACGATAAAAACAAATTCACTCTAGATAAAACTGTCAGTTTAAAAAAAATTATCTTTTTACAACAGGACTAGTTTCTCAAGTTTAAAATTTGTATAAAGTATCACCTGAATTTTTTTAAATATGAGACATCTCTGCTCTGCCCCCACCCACACCTCATCCTACACTTTTCAGGGAGTCACCACACCCCTCAGACAACCTCTCCCCTCCTCATCAGCAACAACATAATGGACCCCAGCTGCAACCCCCTGCACCTAACACCCCTCCCCCTGCACCATCAGAGCCTTCAATCACCATCAGCAGGGAGGCTGTGAGGATGGAGCTCAGCCGTCTACATCCAAGCAAGTCTGCGCAGGTCCAGCTGGATTGAGCCCCAAACTCCTGAAAGGATATGCAGCTCAGCTGTGTGATGTTTTTTTTTTTCACCTGAGCCTGTGCATGAGGGTGGTTCCTGCTCTGTGGAAAACAACATGCCTGGTCGCGGTGCCCAAAAATAACCAGCCAAACTCACACAGTGAGTCCACCAGCAGTCACATGTCGAAGTGTCCCTGGGCAAGACACTGAACCCCTCATAGCCTCTGATGTGTGTCCCATCAGTGTATGAATGTGATCTAAAGCTCTGATTAGTCTCTTTAGAATGATTTGTTCCATTAGCTTTGTAGAGAACTAGTAGAGTGCTGCATGAATGGTTAAATGAGGACATAGAATTTAGTGTAAAGAGCTTTGAGTATCTTGAAATAAGATAGAAAGGTGCTATATAAGTTAAGTATAAGTTATTTATATATTTAGTGCAGTAAATACGCAGGATTTTTTTTCTGACAAAGTCTAAAAATCCTTCCATTTTATTTTGACAGAATTGTTTTTAAAGCTCTTATAACCTCACAGTAACTTTACGTTTGTGTTCCTGAGAGAAGAGATTGGCCACATTAGAATACACTGTAAAAACAAACTTTAATCCCACATTTATCATAACATAAAATAATGTGTTCCTCTCAGAAATGGTTTTCTTTTCATCTTCGTTAATAAACTTTTGATTTTTATTTTAGCCCACAAGGTGGTGCTCTGCTTTTATATTTGAGAGCCTCTGAAAAAATCTACTGAGACTCAGTTCAACTCCATCCATCCATCCATCCATCCATCTATATTTACTTGCTTCTTCCTTTCCGGGTTGTGGGGGTCACTAGTGCCCATATCCAGCTATCACTGTGCAAGAGGCCAGGGACACCCTGGACACGTCTCCAGTCCATCACAGGGACACATAGAGACAAACAACCATTCACTCTCTCACTCACATCTAGGGACAATTTAGTTACCAATCAGTCTAACATGCATGTTTTTGATGGGAAGAAACTGGAGTACCCAGAGAAAATTCACACATGCACGGAGAGAACATGCAAACTCCACCCAGAAAGACCCCCAGCTGGGATTTGAACTGTCGACTTTCTCATTGAGAGGAAACAGCTCTATTAACTGAGCCACCGTGCCACCCACAGTTCAACTCACAGCGGAAAAGTTACGTCTTCTCCGGCCAGAATGCTGCAGAGTCCCACCTCTCATCTCATTTCATGAACAAAAACTCACTAGTATTGTGCACAAGTCAAAAGCTGATGTACGTGCATGCATGTAGGCTGCAGAATCAGACGCTGCTCGACTGACAGCGGGTGACTGTCGTCAATTTATCCAAAAGCAGGAACAGGTGTACCGTGCAGCTGCAGGTCGGTATGGGCAAAACACTTTCTTTTTTTTATTATAAAGAAGTGACCATTTAAAAAAATTGAATAATAAAAAATAAAAAATCCCTCCATGTTCAAAGACTGGGAGATCCGAGTAAGTTTGACTGAAAACAAGGCTTCATTTTCCGCTACAGATTCTAAAAGGGCTGGAGAGTCTTCACAAAACTCTGGACTGAATTTTTTTATTATTATTATATTTATGTCAAAAAATAATTTGGGGTGTAGTAATGAAGGAACATACTTTTAAGAAAATTGCCATAAAATAAATATTTTGTGAAATTTTTAAAAACAAAAATGTGAAGTTTTTTCCTTTCAGTTTTTTTTTAAGCAAAAGACCCTTAAAGAATTAAAATAATAATTAAAAACATATATTAAATTTATTTCCGGCTGTGTTAAAGACTGACTATTTTTTGTGGAATTCAAACACTAAAAGTATTTTTTAAGCAGTTGGTCGATTTTTCCCATAAGAAACATGAATGTTCATAAAGTTAAAGGACAATATGAGTTAAAACTAGAACACATTTGCTCTGTATGACTAGAAACCTTGAAATTAATCAGAAATTAATTAAATTGATTTTTATTGTTCAGCACTTTTTTTAAACATGCTTTATAAATAAATTTGACTTGATAGAGCCCCCAAAATATCTTTAACTCAGGGGGCCACATCCTCTATAAAAATGTGATTCATTCAATTCAGTTTATTTATATAGAGCCAAGTCACAACAGAAGTCATCTCGGGGCACTGAACAGAAACATTCATATATAAAACTAATAATTGAACATTATTTATCCTCTTTAAACTAGCTCTGGCCAACCTGTTCCAAAAATAAATAAATAAAATAACTTTGAAAACAAAACAACTGGTCTTGTCTCGAGGATCCTTTTCTGCAGTTCCCTCTCCATCCAGCAGGTGGCGCCGCTGAGTCTCAACCCCCTGCTCCTCCCTCCTGCCATCGAAGAAGAGCTCTATCCTCCTCAGCATCAGCACCAGCAGCAGACACGTCTCCTCCCCCACATCCACTGCGGAACATCGGCCTGTTTGCGGCTCACCGTCATGGACAACTCGGGCAAAGAGAAGGAGGCCATGCAGCTGATGGCGGAGGCCGACAAGAAGGTCAAAGCGTCCGGCTCGTTCCTCGGAGGAATGTTCGGGTAAAATCGCTCTCTTGTTGCTTACCAGTGTAGCTCATTTTGTTTGGGATGGGGGTCGGGGGTGGGGTGGGGGTGGTGGGGGGCTCAACCCACGACAAGTGGGTCTTCTTAACCATTAAATCCCGTTAATTAAAACCAGCAGCGTTTCTGTTCTCGGACGTGATGACGTCAGAGGTTCGCAGCAGCCACCTCAGCTGCGTGACACAAACATGTCTGCGGCCGGAAACCCGCAGAAATAAATAAAACGATGGTCGTTGCTGCTGCTGCGGGAGGCCGGGCTGCAGGGAGGCGGGGAGAGCAGCGGAGGAGGGAGATGGTTCCAGTTTTAATTTGTCTGTGGACGGGAGGGGTCTTCATTTCAGAGGAGGACATCCCCAGTAGAACATGGAAACTCAGAGTTATGAATTTTACATGAGGTCAGTCAGCGTGTCTGACTGATGATCGATTATTGATCAATTTGATGTTCTCTGTGTTTCCATGCACAAGATTTAAAATCCAAGAAAAATGTTTCCGTGTTCATTTGATGCTTCAGCTGAACCCTCCCAGTGATCTTTCTGTTTTGCTGCCTATTTGATTAGAAGTATTAATTCTATACAAATACTTTAGACTCATGAAGTTAAACAGGGAAATTATTTCAATTATAATTAAAAAAATTCTTTAAAGATGTGCGTGCCTCATTATTCGAACACTTACAGGATCGAGTCACAGAATAATAAACCAAATAGACACGCCTGCTCTGACCAAGAAACAGACATCATGAAGACCAAGGAACTATCCATACAGGTCAGAGACAAATCAGAGATGGGTCACGAAAAGACCCCAGAAATATGAACATCCCACAGAGCTCCATTAAATCCATTATTAGGAAACATGATGTCACCACAGCGAACCAGTCAGGAGAGACTTGTCCACCAAACTCAGAGACGTAAGGAAGACACCAAACAGAAAAACATCCACGATGGAGCTGGAAGAGTGGCAGATCTGTCAGATGAGACTAAACATGAAGAACAACACCAGGTCTGAGATAGATCTACCACCTCTCATCAACACCATCCTTACTGTGAGGCATGGGGGTGGCAGCATTATGATGTGGGAATGTTTTCATCAGCTGGGACTGGAAACTGGTAGGTTAGAGGAAAGAGGGAAGGAGCAAAATACAGAGAAACTCTTCAGAGGAACCCGTTGGAGTCCTCCAGAGGTTTGAGATAGGGACAGAGGTCCACCTTCCACAGCAGGACAATGACCCTGAACGCACCGCTGAAACAAACTGAAGTGGTTTAAGGAGAACCAGGTAAAGATCTTGGTTGGTCCAGTCAAAGCGCAGATCTCAGTCCACCTGAGAGTCACCAGCAGCACCGGCCTGAAGGAGCTGCAGCAGTTTGACATGAAGAATGGACAACCGGTCCAGGTGCAGCGGACCTGAAGACACCTGATGTTGGACACACAAAGTGTTCAGTTATGTGGTGAATACATTTGGAGGTGTTTTGGAACTATTTAGAATATTGTTTACGCATTTAACTTTAAGTTGAAACTATGTAATCCTGAAGTTTTGTAGAACTTTTACTTTAAATAAAAACATTTAAATTAAAATGTTTAAGGCACCAAAATAAGAAGATTACTCACAGTTTAAATCACAGACATCCACTTTCTGTTGAGTAGCAGAAATGCAGATCATTATCTGTAACAGTGACAGACTTATAGTCTCTTTTTATTGCTGTGTTGATTAGCTGTGGCGGCCATGTTGAATTGCGTTCCCTTTTAACAGGTTATAGATCTATCTCCAATGATCAGTTTCTGAGAGTATCCATCTACTCACTGACATTTTGCTAAATGAACAGAAACCATTATTACCTGCCTTTTACTTTTAGTGGTTGGAGATAAAAACAAAGCTGAAGACAGGCGAGTTCACATGGAGTCAACTCTCGGTCCTTTTCCTGAAAACCCTCCAGTACGTAAACTTCAACTTCCCTCACGAGGTTTTAACTGAATTTTACTCCTCGGTGAACGTGACAGATTTACAGGCGTTCACTGTTAACAGCCTAAAAGTTGTGAACCAAACTGGGTCGCATCTGTGTGGAAGCTCGTTGCTGCCACCTTAACAAGCGTTACTCCGACGTCTGAGGGATTTGAATAGTGAATGGAGCGGACTGGAGATGAACAGGGAATGAAAGTAAACCTTACTGGTGCAACATATTCATGTGAGGGTGACACGGTGGCACAGATGGTAGAGCTGCCGCCTCACAGCGAGCTGGTCGCCCCTGTTCAAATCCCAGCCAGAGGCCTTTCAGGGTGGAGTTTGCTTGTTCTCTCCGTGCATGTGTGGGTTTTCTCCAGGTACTCCGGTTTCTTCCCACAGATCAAAAACGTGCACGTTAGTCTGATTGGCAACTCTAAATTGTCTCTAGGTGTGAGTGAGAGAGTGAATGGTTGTTTGTCTCTGTGTGTCCCTGTGATGGACTTGCAACCCGTCCAGGGTGTACCCCGCCCCTCGCACAGTGATTGCTGGACATGGGCACCAGTGACCCCCGTGACCCAAAATGGAAGAAGCGGGTAAAAGATAATGGATGGATATATATATATATATCTAACTATATGAATAATGTTATATATATTTATATTTTTATATATATATATGTGTGTGTGTGTGTGTGTGTTTTTGTTTGTTTGTTTGTTTTGTGGTCATCTTGGATTTTGACATGGCAGCCCAGTTTTAGAAAATAACTTTTGTTAAGCCTGGCTGCAGCCAGACACCAAGATGGAAGTCGTACCTCATTTATTTTTCATGTTATCATTCTCACGACGTTCATGAATGGATGCATGGAGGGTATTTCCAATTCCCCCTCTTCACTCCATGACAGAACAAAAATGTTTTTTAGTCTTAATTACGAGATGTCATCTTATAATTATGACAACATAATATTTTGACATAGAGTCTCAACGTTATGGCTAAGAGATTCTTTTTTAATTTCATGCGTGAGGCCAACATGGGCTTCCATACATGCGTGTCCCATCTGAGCTCCAGCATGTTTATTTAATGAGATTTTGCCCTGAATATTGAGAGGAATTCAGTCGGGAACACTTCATAGATCTTTGATTTCCCCACTCAGAAAGGGAAAATATGTTTTTCTTTCACTGTGAGTTTTAGCATCACCTCCTGCAGATCCAGATGTTTCCACTAACTGTGTCAGTTGTCCTCCCAGGTGTTTTTACAAAAATCTAAAGTGTGTGTGTGTGGGGGGGGGGGTTACTTGTTGGATGTTTCTTGAGTGCAGGACTGCTTTTTCAATATTTTTAGATCACCTAAATGCCACTTGTTTTTGTGTGTTTGTGTGTGTCTGTTAGCAAAATCTCTCATGAATCACTGGATGGATTTTAATGAAACTTTCAGAAAATAATGGCTGAATTTTTTATCTTAAACTGATTAATGTTTGAAGCTGACATATTTCAAGATGGCTGCCACAGCCAGTGTACTTTAGCAAACACAACACAGCTATAACTCGGTCAGTTTTAAAGATGCTGAGCTAAAAATTGTTGTGGGCGCAGCTGTGTCATTGACAACCCGTCATCCGAGCTCTGCCAGAACACGGTTCTGTTTGACAGCAGGACAGCAGCTGATATTCATGTCTTTGCTGGTTTCATCTGAAACAAGATGCAGGAGCTTCATCTCTGCTTGTGTGCTTTCTGCAGAGGTAACCATAAGGTGGAGGATGCCTGTGAAATATACGCTCGGGCCGCGAACATGTTTAAGATGGCAAAGAACTGGAGCGGTGAGTGACACACATGCACGCACGCACGCACACACTTTGTACAACCAGACATGTTTAACTGTTTTTTATCCTTCCTCACTCAAACCAGCTGCCTTCAGAGTGTCTGACAGCAACTTCAGGGACAAATAAACGAGTCGTCTGCAGAGAGCATGTGCTCCACATTAAACAGATGTGTTAATAATAGCTCAATTTGAGCAGAGTTCAGCCGTTTAGATTTATTTTCATATAAGACTTTGAAAGGGGGCAGCTGTGGCTGAGTGATTAGAGCAGTTGTCCTGCAATGGAAGAGTTGGGAGTTTGATTCTACCAGCAGTCACATGCTGAAGTGTCCTTGAGCAAGACACTGAACCTCTCGTACCTCCGATGTGTGTCCCATCAGCGTATGAATGTGATCTAAAGAACTGGTTTAATTTTTGTAGAGATCTGGTAGAGTGCTGTATGAATGTGTAAATGAGGGCACAGATTGTGTAAAGAGCTTTGAGTGTCTTGATAAGATAGAAAGGAGCTCTATAAGTACAGTCCATTTACCATTTAAATGAAACCATGTTTGCTTTTGAGTGACAATAAAAACAATCCAAGCATTTTCATTCAAACTGTGATGATTTGTGTTTTTAGCTGCGGGGAACGCGTTCTGCCAGGCTGCTCGGCTCCACATGCAGCTTCAGAACAAACTGGACTCGGCCACCAGCTTCGTCGATGCCGGCAACGCTTACAAGAAGGCCGACCCACAAGGTGAGCGTATCATGTTCTGCTTTAAATGTTGAACCCACATGCAGGCAGAATACAGGAGACTCCCAGGTAAAAATAAGTCATTCCAATGTATTTTTACAAAACAAAAACTGATGGGGCAGCATAAACTTACTTTTAGGGAGATGACAGAGGAACAGAACATGTAGTCTTGGGCGGACAATCCACGGACAAATGACAGGACACAAGGACGCTGAATAAATACAGACACTGATGAGACAGAATGACAAACACCTGGAGTGATTAGGGTGAGACACAGGTGAGACAGGAGCTGAACCACGAGGAGAAGGAACACTGAGGGCTGCATGAAACATGAGGATACAGAGAAGACAGGACAAAACCCAGAAACCCCACAGAGCGAGCCAGAGGTGGATCTAGAGCTACTTCCTTAAGGTGCCAAAGATGTGCCATGAGGTACCGGGGAGCCAGATTTATTGATGCAGGGAAAGTTTACTTTTAGACATAAAGTTATGCATTCATGTTGTTTGTCTGTGAATATTAATTACACAAATTACATGAAATCACATTTAATTGAGAGCTGTTTGTCAATAACTTCTCTTTCCCTCAGATTTACACACACACACAGAGTGCTAAATTATATTTTTAATATAATTTTTGAACTTTGAATCACCTTCCAAAATATTTGCAATGCATTTGAGATTAAATTTTTTCTTGCAAATAATCAAAGGATACTCACAGTGTATATTATATGGTACTACAGTATACACAGTATGGTATATATGATATTTTTTACCTAAGGGTAAAACTAAATATGACAATGAGAGGACTGAAGAGAGGAGGCAGGAATATAAGGAGATGCAATGTAGAGAAAAGAGGGAGATGGCTAAGGCAAAACAGAATGCGTATGATGAGTTGTATGGGAGGCTGGACACTAAAGAGGGTGAGAAGGATTTGTACCGATTGGCAAAACAGAGGGATCAGGCTGGAAAGGATGTGCAGCAGGTTAGGCTTGTTAAAGATAGGAATGATAATGTTCTAATAAACGAGGAGAGTGTGATGTTAAGATGGAAGGAGTTCTTTGAGGAGCTAATGAGTGAAGAGAATGAAAGAGAAAGAAGAGTAGAGGTCATAGAACCTGTGGACCAGGAAGTGGGAAAGATTAGTGAGGATGAAGTTCAGAAAGCTCTGAAAAGAATGAAGAAGGGGAGGCAATAGGACCTAAGGGTAAAATAATTCAACCAAGTGAGCAGCCTCACTGAACGAGCTGAAGGTAGCTAACAAGCTAACTGACTCAGTTTGTATGTTAGCAGAGCGACACAGCTAACTGATCAATATCGACTTTGAAATTAAGCAGACAACTGAGCTAAAACAAACAAATTAATACAATAATCACCCAGTTAGGAAGGAGCAGGTTTGTGTGAAAAGAGAAATGTGTGTGATGATGTCAGGTGTGAGGAAGGGGCACTTCTGAAGGGAAACATCACTCCCATGCCAAGTACTAAGTGATAGTGGAGCTTGTTGGTTTAAAGGTGCTTCCGTAGTGAGAATTAAACTTTGACTGGACGATTGCAGCACCTCGCGTCACTTCTTTTTTAGCTGTTCTGTTCTAGATCAGTTTCTGAGTTTAGCATCGTTGTCATGTAACGTTTTTTTATAGTTGGGGAGTGGGGGACCCAAGAGTGCAGAACAGCAGGTAGGCAGGCAGATAAAACGCCAAAAATTAGTTAATTTGATAAAACTAAACTAAACAAGTGATACGCTGATGTCCCCATTGCTGAGGGATTTAAACAATGAATTTTCGTAGTTTTGGAGATAAATGTTTGTTCTGGACTGGAGTTAAACAGGGAATGCAGGTAAACTAAAGTTTTTGATGCAAGATATTCAAGTGTGTAGGAGTTACACTGTGGAGAAGAACAGAGATAGTTTCTTTTTTCTTGTCCGAGGCAGTGCAGAGTGACAGATGAACGGAGGGAGCAGTTTTATCCACCATCAGGTGCAAAGGTGGAGCCAGGGGTGGCCAATGGTGGCCTTGGCCACCATTGTTGGCTTACATATACTGTATATGGTGGTGGCCATCCTTTTGAAAAATGGGTTGTCACATCAAAATCGGAGATGGCCGCCATGTAAACCAGCCACCCCTATCATTTGAGAAAACTATGCTTTCTACTTTTTATATTGCTTAAAAGTATAGTTGCCTCAAATGATTGGGGTGGTTGAAGATCAATCTATGGGGTCCAAGGCCACCAATGGCCACCCCCTGGCTCCACCTTTGTGACTTGTGGTGAATAAAATTGTTCCCTTCGCTCTCCAGGAGCCATCACGCTGCACCACCTTAGACAAGCAAAAAAAATTTGAAACTACCTCTGTTCTTCTCCGCTGTGTAACTCCTACACATGTAGGAGAATATGTTGCACCAAAAACATTAAGGCTTACTTGCATTCCCTGTTCTATTCCAGTCTAGAAAATCACTCATCTCAAACACTACAAATATTCACTATTCAAATCTCTCAGCGACAGGGGACGTTGGCATACCGCTTGTATATTGTATTGTAAATCACTGAACAGTTCTGCCCCATCCTATCTCACTGATCTTCTGCAGCCATATGTCCCACCACGCTCTCTGAGGTCAGCAGACCAGAGGCTCCTTTCAGTTCCAGAAACCCGTCGCAAGCTCAGAGGTGACAGGGCTTTCTCTGTTGCAGGTCCAAGACTGTGGAATGAGTTGCCGCTGCGTGTCAGGCAGGCTCCCACACTCACAGTCTTTAAGTCTCGCCTGAAAACCCACGTTTATTCCCTTGCCTTTGACACTGTGTGATTTGTTTTGATCCTCTTTGTAGTCTACAGTGTTGGCCATTTAGTTATTAACTGCTGCTATTTGTATCTATATTTTTATTTTATGTTTTCCTGTCCGCTGTGCTTGTTTGTTTCTATTGTACAGCACTTTGGTTGGCCTTGTTGCTGTTTTAAGGGCTCTATAAATAAATTGGTATGGTATGGTTTATTTGGAAACAGTGATGGTGATCAGTTAATCAATGCATTTGATCAGCAGCTGCTAGCTGATACTGGAAACAACAAGGATGGACATAGTTTTGTGACTGAATGTTTTTTGTAAATTATGTTTATTTTCTAATAATTTACACAGTCACTGTTGTCTTTACAACAATGACTGTATCTTGCATTTCTGAAACTTTCCACATTCAGCACTCAGAGGCAGTTTAGTTAGAGGAATAAAATATCTCTCAAGTTCTCCAGAAAAATCAATATCTGTGTATTGTTCCAGGAGCTCTCCCTCTTCATGGTGATGAACTTAATGAGATGCTCTAGTTTAGCGGGTTATCAGTCACAAAGGGATGAAACTGAGATGAAAAACTTGTCAAAGAGGGCTGCGTCTGATTATTTGTCTTTGTTGTATGACTCCTTACATTTCTGTTTGTCTCCTTCCAGAGGCCATCAACTGTCTAAACCAAGCTATTGACATCTACACAGACATGGTAAGTCCTTTCTGAACCACTTGATGTCTTCTCGTGGGTGTCTTTCCTTTCAATAAAACCCTGTGCGTCTGCCTGCATTCACTGCAGGGTCGGTTCACAATTGCAGCCAAACATCACATCACCATCGCAGAGATTTATGAGTCTGAGCTGGTGGATATTGAAAAGGTAAAGCCTCTTTCTTTTGTGTGAACTGAATATAATTTGTTTGAGTCTGTTTTTCTTACATGTGTTTGTTTTCAGGCCATTGCTCACTACGAGCAGGCAGCAGATTACTACAAGGGAGAGGAATCCAACAGGTATTACTAGTAAAGCTACATACATTCAAACTATACATGGCTGAAAATAATTTGGTCTGGTAATCTGTTAAATTTTAAATCAATGCTGCTTGTCGTGTTGTTGTTTTGATTGCTCCTGATTTATGAATGTAGTAGAGGTGAAAAGAGTGTCAGATAGAGTGATGTGTCTGAAGATAGGAGTAGACAGTCTGATGTTAAATGTCAGTGGTTATGCTCCACAGGTTGGATGTGAGGTAGAAGAGAAATTCTGGGAGGATCTAAATAGAGTTGTTGAGACAATTCCCAAGGGGGAGAGATTAGTGACTGGAGCAGACCTGAATGGACATGTTGGTGAAGGAAATGGAGGGGATGAGGAAGTGATGGGTAGATTTGGTGTCAAGGAAATGAACCAGGGAAGACGGTGATGATTTTTACCAAGAGGATGAAAATACTTGTAGTCAACACCTTTTTTTAAAAGGGAGAGGAACATAGTGTGACCTATGGCAGGAGTACGCAGGTCGAATACGTTCTTTGTAGAAGAGGAAACCTGAGGGAGGTTGGGGACTGTAAGGTTGTGGCAGGGGAGAGCGTGACCAGACAACATGGAATAGTGGTGTGTAGAATGACTGTTGTGGTGAAAAAGAGACAAAGGGTAATATCAGAGAAGACTAAATGCTAGAAGTTGAGGAAGAAAGAATGTTGTGAAAAATTCAGAGAGGAGCAGTTAAAGGCACTGGGTGCTAAGAAAGAGCTTCCAGATGACTGGTCTACTACATCAACAGTAATTAGAGAGACAGGTAGGAAGGTACTTGGTGTGTCATCTGGACAGATAAAAGTTAAGGAAACCTGGTGGAGTAGTAGTGAAGTGCATGAAGCTATTCAGAGAAAGAATTTAGCCAAGAAGAAATATGACAGTGAGAGGACTTAAGAGAGGAGACAGGAATATAAGAAGATGAGACATAGAGCAAATAAAGATCAGTGGTTAGCACTGTTGCCTCACAGCAAGAAGGTCCTGGGTTCAATCCCCGGTTGGACCTGGGGTCTTTCTGTGTGAAGTTTGCATGTTTTTCTCGTGCTTGTCTGGGTTTTCTCTGGGTACTCTGGTTTCCTCCAACAGAACAAAAACATGTATGTTAGGCTGCCTTCAGGCCCAGGCCTCTCCTGCAAAAGAGATCTGTGATCTCAGTGGGATTTTCCTGGTTAAATAAAGGTTAAAAGAGAGAGGTAGCTAAGGCAAAGCAGAAGGTGTATGTTGAGTTGTATGAGAGACTGGACACAAAACAAGGCAAGAAGGACTTATACCAACTGATGAGTCAGAGGGATCAGGCTGGAAAATATGTGCAGCAGGTTAGGCTTGTTAAAGATAAGAATGGTAATGTACAAGTGAGGAGAGTAAAATGTGAATATGAAAGGAGTACTTTGAGGAGCTAATGAATGAAGAGAATGAATGAGAAAGAAGAGTAGAGGTCATAGAAACTGTGGACCAGGAAGTGGGAAAGATTAATGATGGTGAAGTCCAGAAAGCTCTGAAAAGAATGAAGATGGGGAAGACAGTAGGACCTGATGACATACCAGTGGAGGTTTGGAAATGTCTAGGAGTGAGATTTTGACTCAATTCTTCAATTACATTTTTGAGGGTGAGAAAATGCCTGAACAATGGAGAAGAAGTGTACTGGTGCCCATTTTTAAGAACAAGTGTAATGTACAGAGTTGTAGCAACTACAGGGGAATTAAGTTGATGAGCCACACGATGAAGATCTGGGAGATAGTTGTGGAAGATAGACTTAGACAAGAAGTGACTGATTTGTGAGCAACAGTGTGGTTTCATATCAAAAAAGAGCACCACAGATGCCATCTTTGCTTTGAGAATGCTGATGGAGAAGTACAGAGAGGGTCAGAAAGAAGTCCATTGTGTCTTTGTGGATTTAGAAAAAAGCATCTAACCGGGTACCGAGGGAGGAGGTGTGGTATTGTATGAGGAAATCTGGAGTGGCAGAGAAGTATGTTAGACTGGTACAGGACATGAGTGAGGACAGCAGGACAGTGGTGAGATGTGATGTGGGAGTGACAGATAGCTTCAAGGTGGAGATGGGAGTGCATCAAGGATCAACTCTGAGCCCCTTCTTGTTTGCTCTGGTGATGGACCAACTAACAGATGAGGTCAGGCAGGAATCCTCGTGGACTATGATGTTTGCAGATGACATTGTGATCTGTGGTGAGAACAAGGAACAGGTGGAAGAGAACTTGGAGAGGTGGAGGTATGCATGTGAAAGAAGAGGAATGAAAGTCAGTCATAGTAAGACAACGTACATGTGTGAATGAGAGGGAGGCCGGTGGAACAGTGAAGCTACAAGGAGCAGAGGTCACAAAGGTGCAGGACTTCAAGCACTTGGAGTACACTGTCCAGGAAAATGGGGAGTGTGGTAAAGAAGAGAAAAAGAGAGCCCAGGCAGGATGAAGTAGATGGAGAAAAGTTTCAGTTGTGATTTGTGAAAAAAAGAGTGGCAGCAAAGGTCAACGGAAAAGTTTACAAGACAGTGGTGAGACCAGCTTTGTTGTATGGTCTAGAGACAGGGACATGGTCAAAAGACAGGAGACAGAACCAGAAGTAGCAGAGTTGAATATGTTGAGGTTCTCCTTAGGAGTGACAAGGATGGATAATATTAGGAATGAGATCATCTGAGGTACAGCACAAGTTGAACAACTGGGAGATAAAGTTAGAGAGACCAGACTGAGATGGTTTGAACATGTCCAGAGAAGGGACAGTGGGTATATTGGTAGAATGATGTTCGAAATGCAGCTGCCATGAAAAATACATAGAGGAGATATATGGATACAGTTAGAGAGGACATGGAGGTAGTTGGGGTGAGGACAGAGGATGCAGAGGACAGAGGGATATGGAGGAGGAGGACTCCCTGTGGTGTCTCCTGAAAGCCGTATTTCATTTTTGAGATTTTCTTAAAAATATTTGAACACATCTTGTCTCATGTGAGATGAACTCAAACCTCTATTTACCAATTTATTGCTGATTAACGCTTCTATAGATTTATCCCAACAATGCTTACAGGCCTTTACAGAATCAGTTCAAGTGTAATATTATTTTCAAATCCAAAGGTCAGAAAGCAAGGATGTTTTGTTACAATATTCTTACTCATAGTATCTAATAAGTATTTTTACTTTGGTTTCAGCTCAGCTAACAAATGTCTTCTGAAGGTCGGACACTACAGCGCTCAGCTCGAGCAGTACCAGAAAGCCATTGAAATCTACGAGCAGGTACCAGCAGAGAGCGTCTGTTAGCTTTGTAAACCAAAAACGTGCTCATGTTTTTCTGTTTTATCCTCCCAACAGCTGGTTTCAAGGCTCCTAAAGCCATAATTTATTCAAACTTTTTGCTTTAAATTACACAAGTACTAATGACAAACAGAAAGACTGGTGGCTGGTGGGGGTCGCAGGAACACTTTGACATGTGACTGCATACTGATGGAAACAAACCTCCAACTCTCATTGGAGGTTGCCGACTTTAGCCACTCAGCCACAGCTGCTTTGAGTCCTTTATTTGGTTATGAAGTATATAACTCACAACAATCAGTCCCAAAATGTACTAAACCCCCATCAGACTGATACATCTGCAGTTTCAGTAGTATTGGCCTGTTGAACAATTAATATCGACTCTTGTTTGACTAGTCCCTAGTCTAGCTTGGACAAAGTCTTCAGCCTTTTCTCCACACTTTGTGCTTTATGACTGATGTCACAACTGATAAAGTACTAACTTAGGCCTGTCGCGATAAATCAATTAATCACATGATAAATGAAAATGATCAACTTCATTTTCATTTACCGGCTTTATCGTTTCTTTGTCTCTCTCTTTCTACTGAAGACACTGGATGACAAAAGGCTCAACTCCGGTGCTCTTCACTGAACCCTCCCTTTCTCTTTTCTCTTAAAATCCGTTTGAACCGTCCAAAATCATGTTTTTGGATCGTTAAAAGCAGCTAAGCTGAGAAGCTAAGCTAACAGGCCGACCTTGGGAATAAACCTCTGTCTTGTCGAGCTCCAAAATTCACGGTTGCAACCTGTGCCTTCATGTAAAAAGTTGTTTTTCTCCACAAAAAGAAGCTGATAAATTGTTTACTGATTTTATATTAAAATCTTTGTGTGAAAAATGCTATGCTAAAGAGCTCAAATCACCGAGCGTACGCCATGTCAGCCCATGTCACGTCAAGTGCCCTCCCTCCTATTTTTCTTAAAGACATGCTGCTCAACTATCCATCCTTTGGTTCAAACAGTATTATACTGCCATCAGGTGGTCAAAAAAGGTACTACATGCCAAACAAATCAACATTTCTTCTAAAATTTGACAATTAATTATTGTTAAATTTCAAACAATATTATCATTTAAAGCAATAATTTCTGAGACAATTAATCGCCCAGCAAAATGTGTTATTGTGACAGGCCTATAGTAACTACTGATTCCTCCAGCATTAACTTAACCTTCACAGCTCACAGATAAGCATGAGAAATAAGCTGATCTATTATTATTATACTTTCCATCACTTCAAAACCACATGATGCAGCTAAAGCTCTGAGCGCTGTTACGCACTGGCTTGTAGTTTTATTTATTTATTTATTTATTGGCATGTTGAGCGAACCGTCTGAATGTTTTTTCATGCCAATATATTAACTTTGGAGACAACATGTCTTTTAAGAAACTGCATTGTCTAATTGTTGAATATTTTTCTTCCACAGTGTAAATGGTAAAGGAGGCTCACAAGCTTCATGCAGGAAAGGCGTTGGACTTTGGACTGAAGCTGTTAAAACTGTAGCTGTGTAGAATCAGATAGTATGTTAAAATAACCTGACTCAATGTAGGTTAACCCTTTGTAGAACACAGTTATATCTCAGTTAAGGTCAGGTAACGTTATTCTAAAGAAACTGAAAGCTGCATCTGAACTTAAGAAATATAAGTTGTTGTCAAATTTATATGTGAAGCACTTTTTTAATAAAAAGAAACAATGGTTTCTTTGCTCTCATATAAAACAAACGTGAGGAACTTTTATTTTATCAAAAGACTGATGTTTATTGAAAAACAATTTAGGCCATACAGGCAGATTTTAAGCCCTTTACTTAACATTGTTAAGTAACATTCTGTTGAACTCAATTGCTGTTTACTGTATTTTTGCCTAAATTTATCAATATTCTTGAAATTTAGGATATTTTCCTATTTAAACAAATAACTTTTAATATGACACCATATGACAAGGAAAAATGTGGTTACTTCATTAAGCTTGAGATGGAGGTTAAGTCATGTCATCTGGACAAGTTAAAAAAAAATAAAAAAAAAAACTTGTCCAGATGACATGACTTAACCTTTTTTGTATTTATCTACCTGAATAACTGAGTTTACAAGTATTTTTCATTAAGCAAAAATTAAAAAAATGAGAAATAATTTTTTTTCTATAGAGTCCAACAATATAATTGCATTGTATTATTGTTTTTTATTAGTTGAGGTTTTTTTTTTTTATACATTTGGCTACATTTGAATAAATTGTCATGCTAAGTGAACATTCAAGAAAAGGTCTTCAGAAAATTTTACTTTTACAAATTAAAAAATCAGAGTCAGAGTTTCTTTATTGTCATTCGCACCTCATGTGGTACATGTGGTGGAGCGAAATTATGTACACGGGGTCCCAGTTACATCCAACAATAAAATGTATAAGAAAAACAGTAATAACATCTAAGATATGAACTAAGAAAAACATCAACTAAATATACACTAAGCACTCATAACATAAAACATTGAACATCAGCACAAACATGAACATGAGTCTGTGAGCAGATGTGCACACATGAACACATCAACATTGAAACAGATCAGCAGCAACATGAAACAGATCAGCAGCAACATGATATGGTTTTTCACAGTGATTATTTTAGTTAGAGATTCATGAGTCTAACAGCCTCAGGGTAGAAGCTGTTCCTCAGTCTAGTGGTTCTACACTTAATGCTCCTTAACCTCCTTCCTGAGGGGAGTGGGGCAAATGTGCTGGGTGAGTGGGGTCCTTCATGATGCAGGTGGCCCTCTTCCTGCATCTGGAGGTGTAGATGTCTGTGATGGTGGGGAGGCTGATTCCGACAGATTTCTGTGCAGCCTTCACCACTCTCTGCAAAGCTTTTCTTTCTGCAGCTGTGCAGCCTCCATGCCACACATTGATGCTCGAGCACAGGATGCTCTCCACTGCACACCTGTAGAAGGAGGTGAGGACTGAGCTTCCCAGACCAGCTCGCCTCAGCCGTCTGAGGAAGTAGAGTCTCTGATGAGCTTTCTTGATCAGGCTGGTGGTGTTGTTGCTCCAGCTGAGGTTGTCATTCATGTGTACACCCAAGTACTTGTAGCTGGAGACCACTTCCACCGCAGATCCTCTTATGTTCAGGGGGGTGTAGGTGTTTTTGTTCCTTCTGAAGTCCACAATCATCTCCTTTGTCTTCTTCACATTGGTGTGAAGGTTATTCTCCCTGCACCAGCTCTCCAGGTGTTCCACCTCTTGCCTGTAGCTGGACTCATCATTGTTTGTGATGCATCCCACCACCGCTGTATCATCTGCAAACTTTACAATGTGACAGCCTGGATGGGTAGCTGCACAATCATATGTGAGCAGAGTAAACAGGAGGGGGCTCAACACACATCCCTGAGGAGAGCCAGTGCTGAGGGTTATGGTGGAGGAGGAGAGGTTGTGGATCTTCACTAACTGTGGTCTGTTTGTTAAAAAGTCTAGTACCCAGTTGCAGATGGAGGGGCTTAGTCCTAGTGTGGATAGTTTGTCCATCAGGGTTTGGGGGATCATGGTGTTGAAGGCGGATGTGAAGTCCACAAAGAGCATACAGACGTAAGAGTTTTTCTGCTCCAGGTGGTTGAGCGCAGTGTGGACCACAGACGAGATTGCATCCTCTGTTGATCAGTTCTCACGGTATGCATACTGATGAGGGTCCTCGTTGATGTTCATGGTTGTTTTGATGTGAGTCATGACCAGTTTTTCGAAGCATTTAGCGACTATCGGGGTGAGGGCCACTGGCCGATAGTCATCCAGACCAGTCACTGTAGAGCTTTTTGGGACTGGGATGATGGTGGCAGTCTTCAGGCAGGTGGGAACTGTCTCCAGGGTAAGTGAGGTGTTAAAGATGTCTGCCAGCACCTCACAGAGCTGATCAGCACATTCCTTCAACACTTTTCCGGGGATGTTGTCTGGGCCAGTTGCTTTGTGCGGATTAATCCTCCTGAAGGTACTCCTTACTTCTGCTGAGGACATGCTGAGATGCTCTTCATCCGGTGGCGAGGTGAGTCTGGTGCTGGGTGGTCTGTTCGGGTCTTCAAAGCGTGCATAGAACTTGTTGAGGGCATCAGGCAGAGATGGGTCTTTGGGGCATTGTTCACTCCTTCCTTTATAATCTGTTATGCACTTAATGCCCCTCCACATGCTCCGAGGGTCTTGTGAGATGAATTGACCCTCGATCCTCTTTGCATATGTGGCCTTGGCCCTCTTAATACCAGCAACCAGCTCGTTTCTTGTCCTACTCAGCTCCTCTGAGTTTCCAGGCCTGAAGGCAGTGTTCCTGGCTTCCAGCAGGGTACGCACCTCTACATTTAGCCAAGGTTTTCTGTTTGGGTAGCTTTTAACATTTCTGATAGTGGAGACGGTGTCAGTACATGTACTAATGTAACCCAGAACTGAGGATGTGTATTGGTCAAGATCAAGCGAACCTCCATTTTCAGCAGCTTCTCTGAAAACCTGCCAGTCTGTTCGATCAAAACAATCTCTCAGTATGGGTCCACTGTCCTGGCTCCAACATTTAACTTTCTTTTGTACCGGTCTGGAGCGTCTCAGCGGGGGCATGTAAGCAGGAGCCAGGAAGATTGAGATGTGGTCTGACAGTCCTAGGTGGGGGCGGGGTTCGGCTTTGTATGCATCTTTTACGTTCGTGTAAACACGGTCCAGCGTGCGGTCTCCACGTGTCGGAATCGTCACATGCTGATTAAAGCTTGGGAGACAGTCCTTTAGATTCACGTGGTTAAAGTCTCCGGCTACCACGTACAGAGCCTCAAAAATTGCAACGTTATTAAATTCAGTGAATAATCTATTTCAATAATTATATTACAATATTGATGAAAATAACTGTCATTATTACTTTTCACACTGGATAATACACTGAGATCAAAATATTATCCTCAACATTAAGCATTTAGAAATGTGTGTGTTTTTTGTGTGTTTTAGGTTGCTATGAGCACTATGGACAATCCTCTGCTGAAGTACAACGCTAAAGAATATTTCTTCAAAGCTTCATTGTGTCACTTCATAGTGGATGAGCTCAATGCCAAGGTAATCCTCCACTGAGATTTAAAGCATTTGCTTATTAACACGGATTAAAGTTATCCATCACCACATCATATTTCTGTCATTTTGAATGTAAAAGGAGGATAAACTGTGTGTTTTGTTGTTGTCTAGTTAAAACCATCCAATCTAATGTGGATACAGGGATAAAACCAGTGCTTAACTTGGCCTGGATCCTGCCAGAACAGGATCCGGGAACTCTTATTTTGACAGGGTACGTTCCAGTAACTGCTTGGATATGGTAACTCTCAGGCTTACTAATAATAAAGTTATGAACAAATTTTACTTCCTTGAACAAATAAAGCTTATACTGGATATGTAATCTGAAAATATTACGTAAACACCATATTATAGGCAGAAACATGGGTGTGCTATGGGGTCTCCAGTTTCTACTACTGCTGCCAACCTGTACATGGAGGAGGTAGAAAAGAGAGTCTTGACATCCTTTTCAGGGACACCACCAAGTCATTGGTTCAGGTATGTTGACGACACCTGGGTTAAAATTAAATCTCAGGAAGTCCAACATTTTACTGACCACATCAACTCTGTGGATAAATACATCAAGTTCACACAAGAAGATGTAAAGAATGGCAAGTTGGCTTTCTTGGACTGTGAGGTCGCAGTCTCTGATAGAGGACATTTGCAAACCGAGGTGTACCACAAACCCACCCACACAGACCAGTATTTGCAGTTTGACTCCCATCACCCTTTGGAGCACAAGTTAGGAGTCATCAGGACTCTGTATCACAGAGCAGACAGCGTCCCCACTAGCTCAGGAGCCAGGCAGAAGGATAAATCCTACACAAAACAGGCTCTAGAGCAATGTGGATATCCTAACTGGGCCTTCCTAAAAGCAGAGAAGAAACCCAAACAGGACTCCAGTCAGCCATCAGGTGAAAAGGAGGAACCCAGACCCAGACCAGTGGTCATTCCGTATGTTGAGGGAGTATCAGAGAAACTGAGACGTTTATTTTCTAAACATAACGTCCCAGTGGCTTTTAAACCCCAAAATACATTACGACAAAGACTGGTTCATCCCAAAGATCCAGTCCCCCGGCACAAACAGAGCAATGTTGTGTATGCTGTTCAGTGTCAGGAGGGCTGTGATCAGTCTTACATCGGGGAAACAAAACAGCCACTGGCCAAAAGGATGGCCCAGCACAGAAGATCAACATCATCAGGCCAGGACTCTGCGGTCTACACTCATCTCCAGGCCAGCGGTCACTCTTTCAGGGATCAAGATGTTCACATCCTGGACAGAGAGGAACGATGGTTTGAGAGAGGAGTAAAGGAGACCATCTTTGTAAAAACAAACCGTCCATCATTAAACAGGGGTGGAGGCCTCCAGGTTCAACTGTCCCCCTCTTACAATGCTGTGATTGCTAGTATCACTCAGCCCTCTGTGTATAGTAAACAGCCATCAGTGTGCTAATGTTCCATTGTTAGGCTGATGGTTCTTCTTGAGCATGTGATCAGCTGGTTTTGGTTGTCAGCAGCAAACTGGTTGATCCACTCTGAGAAGGTGCTATTTAAGAGACTGAGCTGAATACAGCACCTCAGACTGAGGAAGTCTCTCGGATGAGAGACGAAACGTTTCTAAAAAATTTTTGCTTTTTTTTTTTTTTTTTTTTTTTTGAATGTCCAGAAGACCAGATTTAACTTTTTTGGATTTTTCTCCTGCACCACGCCCCATCATCCTGGGTTTTTTTCTATTCATTCAACCTTTATTTAAACAGGTTAACCCCATTGAGTCTCGGGGACTCATTTACAAGAGAGACCTTATTTTAACAAAGAGTGATGACAACAGTGGACAACAAAGACAATAATAGACAGTCATAAAGGATGTGTACAAATTAATTATTTTTTTTAACAAGTGAAAATAAATTGGTAATTAAAAAGGATAATTAAAAGGAAAAGTAGCACAAAAACAGCTAGGTTGTATCTAAAACCTAACTTTATATTAAACATTCATGTGTTCAGAGGTGATCAGGTGTTTAGTTGTCCTAAGGTCCAGGTGTTGACATGTTCATTTCCCATTCTTTGTATTACACGCAGAGCTTTGGCCAACGACAGTTGTTCTAAAATGTACTATACTGTATAAATACATTTTGATTGATTTGAAACAAAAAAGTGGTATCAATGCCTCCCTACTTATCATCATCAGTCATGAGGTTAGTTGTGTGTGACTTACTCTTAACTCGCTGCATGTGTGTGTTTCAGTTGGCTATAGAAAAGTACGAGGAGATGTTTCCAGCTTTCTCAGACTCAAGAGAGCTCAAGCTGCTGAAGGTAAAACTTGTTTCCTTTTTGAAACTATAGTTTTCAGTCAAGTTTATTATTTTGTAAATGTATTTGTGTTGATTCAATATTTATAACATTTTTAGGCAACATACCCTTAAAAGGGTATTTAAATTTTAAATTGAAAAATGAGCACAAATGTAAAATAAAGACAGGAGAAAGAACTGGAAGTGACAGAAATGAAGATGTTGAGGTTCTCCTTAGGAGTGACAAGGATGGACGAGATTAGGAATGAGATGATCAGAGGTACAGCACAGGTTGAACAACTGGGAGATAAAGTTAGAGAGACCAGACTGAGGTGGTTTGGACATGTACCTGAATTAGAGCCATTTGTGTTTTAAAACGTCAGTTTGTTGAATTTCCAAACGTTTCATTAAAACTCATTTAGCGGTTCGGGAGATATTTTGCTAACTGACAAACACATTACCCACCATCATGTGCTGTTATTAGCAGACGTTTCATTTGAAGTTTTTGTTTTCCTGCAACTGAATTTTGTCACAACAGAAACTGCTTGAAGCCCACGAGGAGCAGAACAGCGAGGCCTTCACGGAGGCTGTGAAGGAGTTCGATTCTGTGTCCCGTCTGGACCAGTGGCTGACCACGATGCTGCTCCGCATCAAGAAGACCATCCAGGGAGACGCCGGGGACTTGAAGTAGACAAGAGGAACATGGAGAGAGGAGATCTGGGTGGAGGAGGGTGGTTCTTACATTAGTGGTATATAAAGGTAGGGAAGGGTGTGGTAAAGGGATAATCTGGTCATTTCTCAAGTGATGTTCTGTCAAGTTTGCGTTAGTTAGATCATCCTTAATATCAGTCAGAGCACAGAGTTTAAAGAAAAGAGCAGAAGTCTTCATCCATGCTAAGCTAACGGCTGGCCTGTTTTTTTTTTTATTTTCAGACTTTTATAACAATTCTTTCTCTAAGACAAGACACTGGTGAACACAACAATAATTCAACTAATTATGCAACGAAAAATAAACCTCTACACTTTTGCCTGCCACAGTTAGTTGAGTCTGTTGTTTTCTTAAGCAGACACTGTCCATGTTGCTGCGCCGCTGTACGCATGTGAGCACAGGCCGTTACACGCCGATGGTCCTGAGGGACGAGTCTGCTGAGAGGAAGGCTATTCTAATATGGAAAAATCTTAATCACTTTTATTGAAGACATTTATTCACTGAGTTTGAAAACATTGCAGTCATATCACCTAAAGAACAACTTGAATCTGGAAGGTTAATGTTTCCAGTTAATATTTAATTTAAAATGAACAACAATGGATTTATTCAAATGTAGGTTATTGAATTAAATAAGCAAAAAATTAAATTGTGCCGCTATATTGTGGAGTCCTGTGGAAAAAAAACTAAAACTTTTCACCCAGGAAGGGTCTGATCACCAGGACAAGAGGCAAAAAGGGGGCGGAGCTTCAGCTCATTATGGAAGCTAGATAAGATGAGAGTGTGCTCACAAAGCAAAACGTGACAATAAATGTTTATTTTTCATTGGGGGGTTTTGTACATAGTCATGTTTCTGTAATTATTTGGGGCTGAAAATAAAACTTAAACTTTGATAAACTGCACATCCAAAGTAAACTGTTGCACTGACTGGGCGCGCTGATGGAGCGAACTGATCCGCTCGGCACCATCGACACGGATGTTCACACAGAAACGTGGACCTTGCTCAGTTGAGAAAACGACAAATTAAACAATGTTGTGTAGCAATTTAACATGAGCTAATGTAATGTTCTTACACACCAGGTTGATATTTTTGAGTTGTTTTTCAGCCTGTAAAACAATAAAAAAACACCCTTATTGTTTCCTGTCAGTAGCCAAGCCTGGCCCTTCTCTGACCCAACTGACCTGATAACATTTGATAGAGCATCACGGCAGAAATAACCAGACTGTCCCTTTAAGGTGGAACTGAAAGGAACAGAACTAAAGGCAGATAAATTACAGATATGTACATATCAGTCTGCATGTGACCCCCAATCAATTTATCATCATCTTTAAATCACTGTTGTCCCGTCCTACAGTATTGCGCAGTAACGATGGACTGAACGGTACTTTGGGGAAAAAATGTGTGTGCAAAAAAGAGGAAATGTGTGTGTGTGTGAGTGTGTGTCCACAGCAGTAAGGTAATTCTACTTTTCGATGAGGTGTGCAGATAAATCATAATGAAACCGGATTCAAAAAATCTATTTAAGAGATTGTTCATATTTATTGTCAATACTGAAAATATTTATTGTTTATCATTGTGCTCAGTGTTACGGTTTGTCTGAATATTTTAGATATCAGCCCCTCTACACCTCCCTTATGTGTTTTCACCTATTTTCAGCTTCACGGTGCATTAAAGTTAGTAAAACCACTTATTGTGATGAGTTGTTTGCTGTTTGGGCGGTGCAGTTAGCTGCCAGAGCTACGTCTGGTTTCTGCCGTCTTTGTGCATGTCTTCGTTGATGTAAGTGTTCTCTGTGTTGTGCTAACGAGTAAAAACATGCAGTATCATTTGTGTGAAATCAGTAAAAATGTATCTCAGATATTGAAATAAAAACATTGCCGCTCTGAAGATGTGCTTATCTCTTCTGCTCTTTATTTACTTTTTTTTGTTTGTTTCAATGCTTGATTTATATCAATTTAGCAGAAAATTAAAGACATACCTGCTCATGCCAGAGACTTCTTAAGTTGAGAAATGATGGAGTAGATGTTTTGGTCACACCACGTTATGAGCAATCCCATGTGATAGTGTGAGATATCACATTCAAAGTGAGTGTTGTGAATGACTCAAACTCAACTACACCTAATTTTAGCTCAATATTTGTAAAACCAACTGAATATGCCATTTTGTGTGTATTATTAAATCAATTGGCTATGACATAACTCAAGAGATAAATCCAAGGCTGAAATTTTCATTTAAATCCATCAAGTGGTTCATTGATGGATGGATGGATGGATGGATGGATGGATGGATGGATGGATGGATGGATGGATGGATGGATGGATGACTGGCTCTGCAGAGGGTGGTTAAGGCTTCACAGAAGACTGTGGGGATGAGCCTTCCCACCACCTCGGACCTCTACAGTACACTTCACAATGCAGGGGGAGGACGCTCTGCATCATGAAGGACTCAACTCATCCTGCACACAGTTTGTTTCAGCCCCTCCCCTCAAGTAGGCGACTGAGGAGCATTCAGAGCAAGACCACCAGACTCAGAAACATTCCTCCCTTCAGCTGTCAGACTGCTGAACTCGAGCTGCACTTAATTCAGTTTCATATTACATTTTTTACTATATATATATATATATATATATATATATATAGTAAAAAATATATATATATATAAATATATATATATATATATATACATATATATATATATTCTTTTGTGTTTTATTTATCTGTTGATTGTTAGGCTTCTTGATCTGGGACCTGAGTCCGAATTTGGTACCATAAACATGCAAATGTGAGCTGGTATGACAATTAAAAAAAATCCTTGAATTAAATATTTTTGCCAAGTCAGAGTGGACTCCAAAGAGTTCATGGCAAAATGTTAGGTATTGCACAATCTGTTAGAGCTCAGAATATCTGATTGGAGCTCCAGCTGAGACACTAACACTCCACATTTTATACCGTGTAAAATTGACTTACAGCTGCTTTTCTATTTTTTTTAGGTCGTGTCTATAGAAGTTAATCATTGAATTATTTCTGCAAGTTTCATTAAAATATGTTTAATGGTTCATGACATATTTTATTAACAAACAGACATGGGCAAAAACATTGTTGTCTGTCTTTTCCTTTTGACAATACTGTAGATGATAAGAAGAACAAACTGTATTTTAAATTGGAATGTTGGTACGTAGCTGCTTAAATCGTTTGTCATTTTGAATCAAACGAGAGTAACATTTATACAGAAGATGATTTAATGAAGAGGTCCTCAGTGCACACCGAATTTGGCAAAAGGGCCTTTGCTAACTCTGCTCCTGTAAACTGGAACACCTTGCAAAAAGATCTGAAGCCCTCAACTTTGTCCTCCCTAAGGGATTTTAAAGAACTAAGTTCAATGCAAAAATCAGTGCAGACATTCCTTTTTCTAATATTTTACACCATTGTTTAATGTAGCATCTTTTTTTTCAATTTGGTTTTATAACAGGCAGCATGGTGGCGCAACTGGTAGAGCAGCTTCCTCTCAGCGAGCAGGTCCCCGGTTCAAATTCCGTCCCGGAGGCCTTTCTGTGTGGAGTTTGCATGTTCTCTCCGTGCATGTGTGGGTTTTCTCCAGGTACTCCAGTTTCCTCCCACAGACCAAAAACATGCATGTTAGGCTGATTGGTAACTCTAAATTGTCCCTAGGTTTGAGAGAGAGAGTGAATGGTTGTTTGTCTCGTTTGTCTCTATGTGTCCCTGTGATGGACTGGAGACCTGTCCAGGGTGTACCCTGTCCCTCGCACAGTGACTGCTGGACATGGGCACCGGCGACCCCTGTGACCCAAAAATGGAAGAAGTGGGTAAAAGATAATGGATGGATGTTTTATAACACTTCTTTTATTTACTTTTAATTTTATATGCTTTTATATGAATATTTATTGCTCTGTGTACCTCATCTGTGGTTTTTGTTTAAAATAGGTCTCTCTTAAGTCCTTGTGACCTTAAGTCCTCTCTTAAGTCCTTGTCAATGAGACTAACCTGTTGAATGTATTAGTTCCACAGCAATTTTTTTTTTTTAGTATTCTGACTTTTTTTTTGGCAGAATTTGGACTTTAATATCAGACATTTTTTAGATTAAAGTCCGAATTCTGAGAGGGGAAGAAGTCAAAATACTGGGTGAAATAAACAAAAATCTAATTTGGCCCTAATCCTCTTCCTTACATTTATCAATGGTTTGTGTCCAGGTGGTGTTGAGCCAAAAACGGTTCTCCTTTTAAGTATAGACATATAGCCAAAGGTCCTGAGCCGTCAGACAGGTCACTTAAAGATCTGTCACTGCTCAAATAACATGTGGGATTAAGAGCTGTTATTTGGTTTTTTTATTTACTTTTTTTTTTTTTTTTTTTTTTGAGGAATTGGCTACGAAATTAGACTAAAATTATCAAGTGTGTAGATTAAATGGGAGGACTGTTTTCTACAAGCACCGGAACCAAAATGCCCACAATACATTTTCAGTCCATCAGTTGTAGTAACACATTTCCGGTGTATGGCAGTTTTCGTGTTAAAGTGCGCTGCGTGTTCTTCTTTTTTTATTTGTTAAGTTTTTAACGCTGTCAAGTGCGCGAATTATTCAAAGACTTGTTTATCGCATTTAGCTAAAGGGAAAGCTACAATCAGGCCGCCAAGATGCCGCGAATTATGATAAAAGGAGGCGTTTGGCGCAACACTGAGGTACGTGTTTACCTTGTTAGCATAATGCTAACCTCCAACAGTAAACCAGTCGGTTTAGGTTAGCGTAAAGCTAGCTGCTGCTCAGTTAGCTGTAATCAGCTCTCAGGTTATCCAGTGTAGTTATGTGATTGTGGTCAGCTACGTTAAAGCTATTCAGCTAGTATTTAAATATATTAACTTTATTCTAGTGTTTATAGAGTAGTAGAGATGACGACGTTATTAACAAACATTGTGAGCTCGAGAAACATTTTAATTATTGGATTTTTTTGTATATTAATGTTGTCTATATATGTATATATATATATATATATATATATGTATGTATATATATATATATATATATATATATATATATATATCCTTAAATTGATTTTACTTTTTTATTTTATTGCACCAAGAATTGAAAGAAAACATAAACTTACGTATCATAAATGATCAGGCCAAACATTTATAGTAAAGAAGAATAAAGAAGGCAAAACAAAGTTAATTTGACTTTTATTGATCGTCTTATTTAATAAAACCATTCTCAACAGCCTGCTGAATTAAATCTTGTGTTTTTGATGTATTTAATTAATTCTAACCACCTAACCATTTGCATGTTGTTACTGAAATACATATATGAAACAAAACTTCATAAATTACAGGTCCTTCTAAAAAAATTAGCATATTGTGATAAAGGTCATTATTTTCCATAATGTAATGATAAAAATGAAACTTTCATATATTTCAGATTCATTGCACACCAACTGAAATATTTCAGGTCTTTAATTGTTTTAATACTGATGATTATGACATACAGCTCATGAAAACCCAAAATGCCTGTCCCAAAAAATTAGCATATCATGAAAAGCTTCTCTAAACAAGCTATTAACCTAACCATCTGAATCAACGACGTAACTCTAAACACCTGCAAAAGATTCCTGAGGCTTTTAAAAACTCCCAGCCTTGTTCATTACTCAAAACTGCAATCATGGGTAAGACTGCCGACCTGACTGCTGTCCAGAAGGCCATCATTGACACCCTCAAGCAAGAGGGTAAGACACAGAAAGAAACTGCTGAACGAATAGGCTGTTCCCAGAGTGCTGTATCAAGGCACCTCAGTGGGAAGTCTGTGGGAAGGGAAAAGTGTGGCAGAAAACGCTGCACAACGAGAAGAGGTGACCGGACCCTGAGGAGGATTGTGGAGAAGGGCCGATTCCAGACCTTGGGGGACCTGCGGAAGCAGTGGACTGAGTCTGGAGTAGAAACATCCAGAGCCACCGTGCACAGGCGTGTGCAGGAAATGGGCTACAGGTGCCGCATTCCCCAGGTCAAGCCACTTTTGAACAAGAGACTGCGTCAGAAGCATCTCACCTGGGACTGCTGCTGAGTGGTCCAAAGTTATGTTCTCTGATTACAGTAAATTTTGCATTTCCTTTGGAAATCAAGGTCCCAGAGTCTGGAGGAAGAGAGGAGACACAGAATTCACATTGCTTGAGGTCCAGTGTCAAGTTTCCACAGTCACTGGGGTGTCATGTCATCTGCTGGTGTTGGTCCACTGTGTTTTATCAAGGGCAGGGTCAATGCAGCTAGCTATCAGGAGATTTTGGAGCACTCCATGCTTCCATCTGCTGAAAAGCTTTATGGAGATGAAGATTTCATTTTTCAGCATGACCTGGTACCTGCTCACAGTGCCAAAACTACTGGTAAATGGTTTACTGACCATGGTATTACTGTGCTCAATTGGCCTGCCAACTCTCCTGACCTGAACCCCATAGAGAACCTGTGGGATATTGTGAAGAGAAAGTTGAGAGACGCAAGACCCAACACTCTGGATGAGCTTAAGGCCGCTATCGAAGCATCCTGGGCCTCCATAACACCTCAGCAGTGCCACAGGCTGATTGCCTCCATGCCACGCTGCATTGAAGCAGTCATTCATGCAAAAGGATTCCCGACCAAGTATTGAGTGCATAACTGAATATGATTATTTGAAGGTTGGCGTTTTTTGTATTAAAAACACTTGTCTTTCATTGGTGGGATGAAATATGCTAATTTTTTGGGACAGGCATTTTGGGTTTTCATGAGCTGTATGCCATAATCATCAATATTAAAACAATTAAAGACCTGAAATATTTCAGTTGGTGTGCAATGAATCTGAAATATATGAAAGTTTCATTTTTATCATTACATTATGGAAAATAATGACCTTTATCACAATATGCTAATTTTTTGAGAAGGACCTATACATTTTGAAGGAAGAATTTGAACATATAAGGATATGGGTGAGCAAGACTAAAATAAACAAGTCTTCAGAATTAAGCTGGAAGCTCTCAAAGCTCTTATTTCTAGAGTACTGGTGGTATAATTTTCAGCCATGGGTTGTTTCTTTGTGGTGATGAAAGTTTGCAGAGTGTAATCCTCATTGTTTATTTATTCAGGATGAGATCCTCAAGGCAGCAGTAATGAAATATGGGAAAAACCAGTGGTCCCGTATTGCCTCCCTGTTGCACCGCAAGTCTGCCAAACAGTGCAAAGCCAGATGGTGAGTTTTTATACCATGGCATACATTACCCAAAATGATAATTTCACTGAGTACGCTTCTGAAACCTGTTTTGATTCTGCTTTAAGGTTGCAGATTTATAAAAACATTATGATTATACTGGGATGAAAGTTAATTTGTGTATCCTTGAAGACGTGTGATTTATTTCTGTTAGACTACTCTCCTCAATAAAGATCAAATGTTTTCAATTCATCTTTGGTTCTCTTTTCAGGTACGAGTGGTTGGACCCCAGTATCAAAAAGACAGAGTGGTCCAGAGAGGAGGAGGAGAAGCTGCTTCACTTGGCCAAGCTGATGCCCACCCAGTGGAGGACCATTGCTCCCATCATTGGACGCACTGCTGCCCAGTGTCTGGAGCACTATGAATACCTGCTGTACGTTTCTTTATATAAACTTATGGTACCACTTTACAATAAGACTCCTCTCACAGATGGCTAATAAGTATTTTATAAATATGTTATTAATTCCTCTATAAACACTTTATAAAATCAGTAATAATTGTTTATTATGCATTAATTAATGATGACAGAGAGACAAAACTGACCAGTTTCTTGCCAAATAATGAGCCAAATCTGTTCGCCTACCAATATATATATTTCATCTAGAGTTTTTATATTAAACATTTCAGACTAAGTTACTACCTTGTAAGTACAATAAGCTTTTGTAAACCTAATTTTTTTAGGATATAATATTAGTTGTAGATACTTATAATGCAGTGATAAAGTAATGCTAAAGAAATATGTTTACAAATACTTATTGTGCTTACAATTAACTAACATTCACCACATACATTCAGTCTGAAGAAGTCTTTTTTTCTAAGGTGCTATTTTCTGCTATCAGATTAGAGACTTGTGTTAATAGATGTACTTTTTGTTTATTTAGAGATAAAGCAGCACAGAGAGACAATGAGGAAGAGGTGGGCGATGACCCCAGGAAGTTAAAACCAGGAGAAATCGACCCAAACCCTGAGACGAAACCAGCCAGGCCAGACCCTGTGGACATGGATGAAGGTGACGTTATAAACCTAATACTGTTTAGATAAAGGTGAGGACACACATTTTTCACAAGTTGGGTGGCTGTGGCTGAGTGGTTAGAGCAGTCGTCCTCCAATGTAAGAGTTGGGGGTTCGAATCCATCAGCAGTCACATTCCGAAGTGTCCCTGGGCAAGACACTGAACGCCTCATTGCCTCCAATGTGTGTCCCATCAGTGTATGAATGTGATAAATCACTGATTAGTCTCTTTAGAATGATTTGTTCAATTAGCTTTGTATAGATCTAGTAGAGTGCTGTAGGGCTGCAACTAACGATTATTTCAATAATCGATTAATTTGCCGATTATTAACTTTTTCCCCCGGTTAATCGATGAATCGGCAAAAATAAAAAAAAGTTTTAATTTCCACCCCTTTATTCCAAAATTGAACATTTGACTGACATAACAATTCACACTAAAAACAGGTTGCTATTTGACTATTCTGTTAGTAAAATATTGAATAATAAAAAATAAAAGTTAGTCAAATAGCTTAAAAAATTAATGTACACAAAAATATATACAAATGTATCTTTATACCTGCACAATATGTAGCTACTTTGTAAAATGTGTCCTTGAGGGAAGAGTGTAACCTGGATTAAAAGTGTGGATTATTGTAACCTGGATTAAAAGTTTGGATTATTGTAGTGAAGCCTTCGTCTTCAACCATCGACAGAGGCCTCATGTCAGTGACGATCATTTAAGGATGTTATCAGTGAAGACAGCTGCTGCTGTGGTGTCCATGATGTCTGTCCATCATGAAGGCTGTCGTTTGTTGTTGTTTTCTGGAATGAGACAATAAATATGTTTTATATCATAATTTACAGCAACTCAAGAAATGCCTTGTTTCACTTACAGTGTTAGGTTCAGGCAAAAGTAGCTAAAAGAGCAATTAAACACACACACACATATATATATATATATATATAAAATACTTAATTACAGACATTTGAGTAGATGTAATAAATTACTTTAATTCCTGTTTAAATGCAATTCATCCTGCCATACCTGCAGTGTCTTCAGACTTTGCCAGCAAATTAAAAGTTGAAACTTAATCATTAAATTATTATCTTGTGTTAGATTTATTTATAAATCACATTTAAACACTGCTTGTACCAATTAAATTAAAAGTAACACACACGTTCTCTATCACCGTCATTAATCAGATAAACAAACAAACAAACAAACAAACAGCAGCTTCATCTCCCAGACAGACTGACGTTACGTTTTCTCTCTTGAAACAGAACAATGTGTTAAATTGTAGAGACTCACCTGCAACACGAGTTGGGAGTGAGACATGTTGTATCACCGGCTGAGCTCCTTCCTCCTCCTCGTGACTCCGACATGTTTACGTTTACGCTTAAGTGGCTTTAAGAATCTGTTGGACTCCTGGCAGGGACCAATGCAGACATGTTCCTGTTTTTAGTTTTATCTATTTGTCTTGGAATCTAGCTGTTTTTTTTGTTTTGTTACCTTTTTCCTTTTAGCCATCCTATTTGTTAAAAAAAAAACAAAAAAAAAAACTGTAGTATGAGTTTTTATAACTGCTTATTGTTGTTGCTGTTGTCCATTGTTGTCATCTTTCTTTGTTGAAATCAGGTCTCTCTTGTAAATGAGTCCTCGAGGCTCAATGGGATTTACCTGTATAAATAAAGGTTGATTGATTTATCAGCGTGGTTCAACCGTGTCGTGTTGTAAATTTTCAAAGCTGCATGTTTCTTATTTTTTATCTTTGTAAAGAGCTCCCACACTTTGGAGGACTTGGGTTGAACAGTTTTCACTGCGTCGGTCATTTGTAAAATTTACTTATTTTCCTTTGAAAACAGCCTCTGCTTTGTTTCCTCCTCGCTCTGTTCAACTCGCGCTGCAGAGTTTTATTTTTTTTTTCAAACTTTATTCAGTCAGTCAGCATTGACAATGAATTGCCCGTGAACAAAACGAAACGGCTCCGCAGCGCCATGAAAGACGCATAATCGCGCGACACAACGAATCGATAATGAAATTCGTTGCCGACGCTTTTAATCATCGATTTTATCGATTCGTTGTTGCAGCCCTAGAGTGCTGTATGAATGGGTAAATGAGGACACAGATTGTAGTGTAAAGCGCTTTGAGTGTCTTGAAATAAGGTAGAAAGGCGCTATACAAGTACAATCCATTTACCATTTACAAGTGATTTTTTTTTCTACATGTCAGACCAAATAATGCAAATTCGCTTTTTTTTCTTTCATTTTCAGAAATTTACGGTCTCCCTTAAGACTCTTTTATCATTTTAATAAATGTTTCACCTTAGCAGTGATGTTTGAGATGTAAGTGTTAAGGCTGGTTTATATTTCACAATACGTAAGTCATCTGTTGTCGTTCACGTGTTTGTGAGATGTTCTATTTCGCATGGACATTATATAAAGAAAAACTGGGAGAAGTACAGGGAAGCCCCCTCACTTACACATCACACTCAAAGACCCACAAAGTTCTGACTAATCACTCAGTACCCTGTGAGACAATAGTTCTGACAGGGCCATGCACAGAACCGGTTCTGAGAGGCAGTTCACGGGGTAAAAAGGTGCATTTTTTTGTCACACAACCACATCAGCGAGACACAACTCAGGCACTTGTCATGAAGTATAAACCAGGCTTACGTTGTTACGTTGGCTTTAAAACCAAGCAGTTGTTTAAAACATTTAGCTTTAATATGCCAGATCTATGCAACCGGCCGTGAGCGCCGCACAATATATCAAACCTATATCATCAGTCATATCATTGGTTATAATATCAGTACAATTAATCACAGTTTAATAATTGTAAGTGTTGATTTGAGAGGAAAAGCTCTGCGGTGTGGCTTCAGTTTGTCTGGTTGTTATAAAACCTGTCAGCTGTTGTAATATATTTGGCTATTGTCTGGTAAATGTCTTATAAGTTAGGCTATCACAAGTCTATATTAATCACAAGGTAAAGTTTTATGTATTTTTAAAAATCTGTACCAGAGTACGTTTCAAATTTAGAGCCATAAGGAAGTCCTCTTTAGCAAAATAAGAGTGTTTTTATGTTTAGTTTTTAGTTCTTCACTTGTTATAGCTGCCTCAACTATTGACACCTGTGATATTTTTATTTTTACAAATAATTAGGTTAACATTTATTTTTTTAAATTTTTTACTGCATCTTGTCATTTTAAATAAAATAAAACTAGTTTAGCTGGAACAGTAAATTATTAAAACATTTAAATTATGAAGCTGTTTGTTGAGTAATAAAAGTACAGTGACGTCCGACAGTCACAGGTCCAAATTCCTGAAAGGGAAAATTAAACTAGCTAAAATAAAGTGAAATTATCACCTTTGGTGGAAAAATAACTGCAGTTACACTAGACACGTTGGTCCATTAGCCCATCTCATGTTGGTCCATCTCACCATGAGATCCTCATTGCTAGGTTGGAGCAGTGGGTGGGCATCACAGGGTCAGCCCTCATTTGGTTCAGATCTTACCTCGCTGACAGATCCTTTTGTGTCTCCATCAAGGATTTTAGTTCTGCAGCGGCAGAGCTTAAATGGGGGGTTCCGCAGGGGTCCATCCTGGGTCCCCTCCTATTCTCTTTATACCTGCTGCCGCTTGGTGCTATTTTCCGGAAACACAACATGCCTTTCCACTTCTATGCCGATGACTGTCAAATTTACTTCCCCCTAAGACACAATGGTACATGCTCTATTCAACCGCTGCTCAACTGCCTGGCTGACATCAGGGACTGGATGGCTTTAAACTTTTTAAGTTTCAATGAAAAGAAGTCTGAAGTCATGTTGTTCCCTCCCAACGACACGATCACAAACCACTGCATCGACCTTTCCGCTCTAACCCTGTCAGAAAAACAAAGAGTCACTAATCTGGGTGTGATAATGGACCCTTCCCTGAAACTTAACAATCATGTAAACATGATTGTTAAATCATGTTTCTTCCAAATGAGGCGGCTGTCTAAACTGAAGCCCATATTGTCCAAAAATAACATGGAGACAGTAATGCATGCATTCATTACATCTAGGCTTGATTACTGCAATTGACTCTGTTTGGTATCAGTCAGACCTCCATTGCACGACTACAACTGGTCCAGAATGCAGCAGCCTGATTTTTAACCAGTACAGGTAAAAGAGAGCACATTACACCAGTTTTGGCCTCCCTGCACTGGTTACCGGTTCACTTTCAAATCCAGTTTAAAATACTCCTGTATGTCTACAAATCACTGAACAGTGTCGCCCCCCATCTCTCTGAACTGCTACAACCATATGTCCCACCACGTTCCCTGAGGTCAGCGGACCAGTTGCTCCTCACAGTTCCAGGAACTCGTCTTAAGCGCAGAGGTGACAGGGCCTTCTCTGTAGCAGGACCTAGACTTTGGAACGAGTTACCTCTGCTTGTCAGACAGGCCCCCTCCCTCTCGGTTTTCAAGTCCCGTTAAAAAAAACAACACTACTATTCGATGGCTTTCAACACCAGGTGATCTGTGTTTGGAACCTGTATGCTCCACACTGGTTAGTCGTCATTATCTGCATCGTTTTTATGTCTATATTTCTGATTTACTTCATTTTGTATGTTGCTTTGTGTGTTACCTGTTGTTCTGTCTGTACAGCACTTTGGTTGGCCTTGTCGCTGTTTTAAGTGCCCTTTAAATAAAATGGTATCGTATCTCTAGTGATCATATTAATTCTGTGTGTTTGTTTTTCCAGATGAGCTGGAGATGCTGTCAGAAGCCAGAGCTCGTCTGGCCAACACTCAGGGCAAAAAAGCCAAAAGGAAGGCCAGAGAGAAACAGTTGGAGGAAGCCAGGTTAAACTTAAAATTAAATTCAAATGCACTCAGACAAGTTCAGTTTTATTTTATTGAAAGAGAACACTCACAAAACATTAGAAGAAAAAAGAGAAACTAGTAACAGACTCTTCATTTCACTGGTGTTCTGCTGCAGACGACTGGCGGCTCTGCAGAAACGCAGGGAGCTGAGAGCTGCAGGAATAGCTGTTCAGAAGAAGAGGAAGAAAAAGAGGGGGGTGGACTACAACGCCGAAATCCCCTTTGAAAAGAAACCGGCACCGGTATCTATAAATGCACACAAATTCAAATTTGTGTGTAGCATTAATTTATGTAAAAAGAAAACACGGCTGCAGCACGGAGCTTCACGTTTATGTTCCATGTTTCAGAGTTAACGGCTTGTTTTTGTCTCACTTTAGGGTTTCTATGACACCAGTATGGAGCAGTACGATGCACTGGAGCCCAACTTTAAACGGCTCAGACAGCAACATTTGGATGGAGAACTACGCAAGTCAGTAACTCCATCTTACTGTTGTTTTTTCTTCACAAATGGATAAACACAAGTGTAATACCTTAAAAAATATGTTTTTAGTTCCTTCCTACTGTACAACTTAATCACTTTCTTACTGCTCAACTTGTGCGCGCAAATACATGAGCAATAGCCCATAAAGGTGTTTTTGTTAAACGGATAAAATAAATTTGTGGTTCTCACCAGTAAAACTTGTTTTCATATAGTGAACGTGAGGAGAGGGACAGGAAGAAGGATAAACAGAAGATAAAGAAGAAGAAAGAGAGCGATCTGCCGTCTGCAATCCTGCAGACCAGCGGAGTGGCCGAGTTCACAAAGAAACGCTCCAAACTGGTGTTACCTTCACCACAGGTAACTGTAGCAAGGCACTGAAATCCTTATGTTGAGCAGTTTGAGATGTTTTCCACAAAACTGACAGGAAGCTCTCTCATCTTTCACTCATCAAGACCGTCAACGTCTCAGTGAAGTTGTTACCTGCAAACTAAAAGGGTCCAAATCATTTTCACAGGACCAAAATAAAAAATCTGATTATTTTTTTTAAGTCTTTTTTTCTTTAAAAGAATAAATAATTCTCCCATGTTTTCAGGTAATGTCAGAATACAGACTGGTTGACCTAAATATTTCTTAAGGCTTATTTCCTATAAAAATGTTATTTATTTTTACTGATTTGGGGAGTGGTGGCACAGAGGTTGGAGAATTAGAGAAGGTGGGACCATGATTAGAAGGTTGCCAGTTCAATTCCCCAGACCGACAACATCAAAATGTGGGTGGGAAAGGTGAAACACCCACACCTGCCTCCACCCTCATTTGCCACAATCTGGGCCCTTGAGCAAGGCCCTTAACCTCCACCATCTACTCCCCTGGGCACTCTAGATAGCAGCTCTCTGCTCCACACAGAGGAGCTGTGGTAGCTCGGTGGTCTGTGGTTGCATCAGGAAGGACATCCAGTGTAAAAATAACTGCCAAGTCTTCATGCGAGTCAGTTCGCTGTGGCGACCCCTGAAGAAGGGAGCAGCCGAAAGAAGAAAAACTTTTTTTTCCTGATTTCTAATGAAAACATTTTACTACAGATTCAAAACAAAAAATCCAAACAGCTACAAACATGTCACCTTAAAGTAGCGGAGAAAATACTGAAAGAGATTGTGGACGAAATAAATTCAGTCAAGTTTAGATGTTCAGTCTGGTGTTTATGTGAGAGTCACAGGACTGACTGAAGAGGACATTAGAGTAAAACTGCTGTATGTTTTTTTCATGACAGAGAAAAGTTGCTCACACATGAACACAGCAATTAGACAGCTTGTGAGGAGGAGTCTGTGTGTTTGAGTCACAACCTCCACCTCTTTGATCGTCTTCCCGTCAGCTCAGATTCAGAAAGAAGGATCACTGAAAAAACTCATTTCATGGAGGAACTTCTGCTCACTGCAACTTGATGGTGCTTCATGAGACCGTTTCCAACTCAAATGAGACGTTTTAATGTTGTTGCAAGATAACCTCATTACAGCTCTGCCTCTTATACTCATAGTTTGATTAGTTCGAACAAATCATGAAGCGCTTGCTTTTCTCGACTTGTTTTTAACTTGAACGTGTCTTTTAGATCAGCGATGCCGAGTTAGAGGAGGTCGTTAAACTGGGTGTTGCCAGTGAGGTCGCCCGCCAGGCTGCTGAAGAGAGCGAGGGAGGAAACTCTGCCTCCTCCACCCTCCTGTCTGAGTACAGCGTTGCCAACAACATGGCAACCGGACTACGAACCCCACGCACCCCTGCTGCACAGGACAGGATACTGCAGGTATCACTTTCATCATCAGCTTGTTTGTTGTCCATTTCAACTGTTCATCCTCTTTGTCTCCTCTTTAACGCCTGGTCAGCATTTCACCGATCACTAGCTGGATCAGAAGTTGTGAGCTATAACTTTTTAGTGTTTGTAACTTTTATATTTTGTAATATATTTAATTTATTTACATGTATATACATATTGTGAGATCTCTTCATTGCTTAAAAAAAAACATTTTCTGAAATCTACTATCTGTACTTTTGTCTATTTTTTCTCTTCTTATGCTGCTTTTAGCTGCAGTTTTCCTAATTGTAGCTTTTAGCTACTGTTTTCATCTGTTCTGCTTGTTTGAACTTCAGCATTTCATTCTTCTTTAACTGTCAGCAGCCACTCAGCCCTCAGCGTTCACATTCCCTTTCTCTAGTTTGAATTGAAATAGCAGTCAAATCATTAGAAAGAATGATGTTTTTACAAGGCATGTAACTTCCTTCTTGGTTAGATGTAACCGCTGGTTCAGCTTACAGTTTTTTTTGTGCACGTTTACTTTCAGGAAGCCCAGAATCTGATGGCTCTGACCAATACTGACACCCCTCTGAAAGGAGGCCTCAACACGCCGCTGCACGAGAGCGACTTCAGTGGAGTCACGCCTCAGCGGCAGCAGATTCAGACACCAAACACTGTTCTCAGTACACCCTTCAGGTAAAATAAAGTTATACGCTCCTGTTGTTTTGTATGGGACATGTAGGAGAGTGCTTGTAGAAACTTCAAGCTGATAATTTCCGTTTCCCTCAACTAAAGAGAACCCCTAAATTTAAATGAAAGGCTCAGTGTTGTTTGAAGAAGAAGAAATCTCCTTTGTCATCATACTCGTATACTGAAACTATGTTTGGCGTCTCTCCATATCAGTATAAACAGTGCTGGGCAGTGGGCACAGTTCCACTAATCCACTAGAAGTGGAACAAATCTGTTGTTTTCGTTTAGCAGATTAGCGTTTTGCTAACTTTGGAAACCGTTAGCTGAATTAGCTTCCATAATTTAGGTTTCGCCAACTTTTGTCTGCTTAAAATATTTACAAGCAGCTTGTTCCTGTTGTTGTGGGCGTGTCTCGAAGAGTCTGTCAGGCACGCTACGACATGCACATGTTAAGACGTGATTGGTTGACGCAGCTTCAACAGGAAGGAGACAAAACACGTGACACATGCTGAGTGATGTTGTCTAAGCAGTTAGCGGTTTAGCGTTAGCTATCACCACTTTCTTTTATTTTTTACCTGTTTGGCAGTTTAGTGTTGGCAAAGCTAATATTTTTAGTGGAATATGGGTTAGTAAAGCTAACTGTTTGATTAGCTGTGCACGCCACTGGTAATAAAGTAATATAGCAGTACACTAAAAAGATAACTGGTTGGGCCACGCTTGGCAGCAGGAACTCCAGTCAAGCGTTTTTGATTGGCAGTGAGTCTTTATTGGTTATGTGGCAGAATTTTGTCCCGCTCTTCTTTATTGTAATTCAGCCACGTTGGAGAGTTTCTGAGCATGAACAGCCTTTTTAGGGTTATACATCTCAATCAGATTCAGGTCAGGACTTTGACTAGGACACTTCAATGTCTTCGTTTTGTTTTTCTTAACTCATTCAGAGATGGACTTGTTGATGCGTTTTGGATCATTGTCCTGCTGCAGACCACAAGTCCACTTCAGCTTGGAGGTCACGAACAAACAACCGAACGTTCTCCTTCTGGGTGTTTTTGTTAGACGGCAGAATTCATGGTTCCATTTACCACAGCAAGTCATCCAGGTCCTGAAGCAGCAAAACTGCCCCAGACCATCACACTACCACCACCATGTTTCACTGTTGGTATGATGTTGCCTTTACACCAAATGTAATAGAACGTGCACCTTCCAAAAAGTTCAGCTGGAGTGGAGTTGGAGAGGACCACGGCTCGAGAAACGAAGTTGTTTCTGTGTCTGTTGCTGCAGGATCTTGTCTTGGTTCGCCTGCCAGATGGTAACCATTGGACAACTGGGTGTGCGTGGTTGTTGTAGATTTTAGTTGCTTTTTTATTCAGTCAGGTGGACAGACTGTCCAGGGATGGGAGCTCCTGACCAATGATGCGTTAGGCCGTTTTCACAACTCTGGTCAGGTTCTTCTGCTCAGCGGCTGCTCAGCTGTTGTACCACACCGTGGAACAGTTTGTGATGACACACTCACTCTGTCTTCCTTAAGAAGTGGAGCATCAATGTTTTGTGGAGCAGAGCTAGAGCTCTTATTTCTAACCCGGGCCCGATCCGACCCGAATTCTGGGCGGGCTGGGTGGTGTCAGGCTTTTGATTGCGTCAGTGAGTCAGCCACAATTCAATTATATGGCAACATGGCTTGCCGTACTTCCACCAGCTGTACGCAGCCATTTCACTGTGAGCTGACAGGCCTTGAAAGAGGTAAACTAAAGTTCAGTTAAACTTCAGATGGGACTGTACTGTCAGGAAGCAATCCATCGCCCAAATGGACGTTCATTCAGTCGCTGCACTCAGCTGCGCACCCAAACAGGTGAGAACCCAAAGCAGAATGCAGGCAGAAACGTTTTTAATGTACTTTGACGGCCATGAAAGGACAAACACCCCCTCAGCTCCGATCTTCTGCCCCTTTTATTCAGCCGCATGTCTGCCAACCGTTACTATCTATAATAATCAAAGCTTAATTAAAAATGTTGGGGGGGGGGGGTACTTTTTTTGGACCTGTAATTGCTGTTAATTCGTCAGGTCGGGTGGGGTTTGGAAATGATGGCTACGAGCTGGGGCTGGGTTGGATCGGATTTTTTGAGCCCCTATATAACTCTAAGCAGAGCCTGTTTTAGTTCCCGCAGGGTCTTTTATTTGAAGCCACGTGGCTGTTGCCTCTAATGTCAGAGTTTTTATTAAACTGAGTTAGAGGTTGAGTTGCACTGTTGTGAATGACTCTCGACTTATCATGTTTTAGCTCAATATCTGTAAAATCTACTTAGTTATGGTCGGCTGTTGTTTCCTATTGGCAGTTGGCTGTGATGGCCATAATGGAAAGTGTTTGCTCTGGGAGTTAATCGACTGTATCCAGAGCTGATCCAATATTTCCTGCAAATTTCATGAAAATACGCCCGTCATATTTTTAAATACATTATAAACAAATATACCAGTATTGCTCAATATGTTAGCGCTCAGAATATGTTGGTGATTGTTATCCTTCACCTTTCAGCAGCGATAATGAATGTTTTATCAAAACAAGACGCTCCAGTACAAAGATGCATGTGCAAGACCAACATAAAGAAAAAAGGTGTAAATAATAATTTATTATGTTTGTAAATGGTCAAAGCACGTCCGCTTAGGTTGACCATTAAATCATTGGTGTATCTACATCCCAAAGAGACATGAGTACACTTTGACTCAAACTTCATTTAGATGGCACTGACTGAAACACACGCACAGTTCTTGTGTGGACGTTTTTACAGGTTTAAGTGTGACGATACTCAAATATTAGTTATTGAAACTGGAAAACGTTTTTGAACCGAGAAAATAGCACCAAAAAATGAATAAAGAAAGGAATTAATTTCAGAACAGAAGAAACCAAAAATGACTATATTTATATATATTTTTTTGTTTCCTGTTGTCGTCTAGCTCTGCTGTAAATGTCAACATTTATGATGGTGTTGTTTCCTGCAGAACTCCTGGACCCGGCCAGGGCTCAGAAGGAATGACTCCTATAGCTGGAGGTGGGATGACCCCACGCAGTACTCCAGGTCTGACCCCGGGTCCGACACCGCTGAGGGACAAACTGAACATCAACAGTGAGGAGCAACTGGCTGACCCTGCATACGCCAAACATCTGGTAAAAACACAAATAACCATCTACGTTTGGTTCAATTCTGTTTTTCTACTGTTTTAGGCCAGTTCTTCTTCGATTACACTCTTGGTGGAACAGTTAATCAAAAGCAACACGTTTACTTCCTACTTTATTTGGTGCTGCTCTTCAACAGCACAAGGAGAGTCTGCAGCAGCTGAGACAAGGCCTGATGTCACTTCCTGTCCCGAAGAACGACTTTGAGATTGTTCTTCCTGAAAATGCAGAGAAAGAACTTGAAGAAACAGAAATGGAGACGGGATTTATTGAAGATTCTTCAGATGTAGAGGCTCGCAAACAGGTACGCTACGATTTTTTCTCTCCTTGTAAATACTGTAAAATGGAAACTTACTGTCGCCGTGTGTTGATGTGTGTCCTGTCAGGCTCAGAGGGACGCAGAAAGGGAGAAAGAGTTGAAGCTGCGACACACTGCTGTGCAGAGGAGTCTCCCCCGACCCACTGAGGTATAGTTTGAGTTTAGACTGTAGCTTTTCCAAGCATACACCTCCAAGTGTTATAAAATGACCTGTAGCTACCTCTGACACTCATTACCACCAGGTGAAGGGTCGGTTGAACCACCTGAACCTTTATTTACATTTACATAACAATGTCTCTGCAGGTAAACGAGTCCGTCCTTCGTCCTGCCTCCATGGAGCCGCTCTCTGACCTTCAGGTGGCCGAGGAGCTCATCAAACAGGAAATGATCACCATGATGCACAACGACTGCCTGCACCATCCGTCAGCCAACGCAGCCAACGCAGCCAATCAGCTGCAGCGTGGCAAAACCAAAGGCCCCGCCTCCACGTCCAATAACGCCTCACACATCTCTTACCTGGAAACACACCCCTACAAACCAGTCAGCACAGAGGACATGGAGCAGGTCTGAACAAATATGAGCGAGGCTTTGGGTTGCAGACATGACGTGTATGGAAGGAGTACTTCTTCATGATGGGTTTGTTTTCGCTGTGTTGATAAAAAGGCGAAGGTGATCCTGGCAGTAGAGATGGAAGTGGTGAAGGCAGGAATGGGTCATGGAGATCTCAGCCTGGAGGCCTACACTCAGGTGTGGGAGGAATGCTACGGACAGGTGAGCATCCTCATTATTTGCTGCTTGTTGACATGTTATGTCCTCCCTTTATTATCCCGAAGGCAAAAGAGCACAACAGCTTTTTTTTCTTGTGTCTGTCTGTACTGTTAGCAAAATATATGAAACACCCAACGAGTTTTAATGAAGCTTTCAAAAAGTTTGGATGGATATCTGAAAATGTAACTTTCTGATTGTAGTCCCAACACATGCAGACGTAAAGACCACTGTTTGAGGTCAGACGCGATCAATGCGGCTGATTTATGTATTTTGCAGATCATTTTCCCCCACCTACCAGAAATAAAACAATTTAACAAATGCAGTTTAACAAATAACTAAAATTATTTCAACTAGAGAAATTTGATTTTCCTGTGAAAATGCAGTGTATTCTGCTTGGTGCAGAATGATTTTACTAAAAGCTGCTGGACAAGCTAAAGTGTGCTTGAAATACATCAATAGCTAAAAAGCACAAAAATGCTGAAATTTGCAAAAAAAATATAGTAGCTGAAACTCAAAAAAAAAAAAGAGAGCTGATATAAGCAAAAAAAAGTTGAAATGACCACAAATGGGCTGTCGGCAGAAAATCAACAGAAAGAAGAAAAACTTGCTAAAATGCAGAACTGGCTGAATTTGTATAAAATAAAGGCTGAAAAAACATAAGATACTGAAAGAAGGTGAAACAAACACAAACAGCTTAAACTGATTGAAAAGTAGCAGGATAAAAAACAAAAATTAGTTAAAACAGCCAAAAAGGCAGAAAAAAACTGAAACTAGTATAAAAAAAGCTAATGACGTCTTTTTCCCCCCAGAAAATAAGAATTGCACAAATACCAAGTCACAGCAGGAATGTTCCTTAATGAGCTGAACGTTTTCATCTATGAATTGCTGAACTAGAACTAAAATATCTTTTTCCCTCCTCAACATAGCTTTTTAAACTGTGGATCAGAATTTTTCCATTTTCTGATCTCGTGTTTTGGTTTGTCAGCAACACTGCTGCTCAAACGTAGCAAAGTACGAGCGAGGCACGACAGATTGCTGACACTTTAGAGAAAATGACAAATTTGCCCTTTTCATTTGTTTAATACAACAATCAAACTAAACTAACTTTAAGATAACAAAATGGTTTATTAAAAAGTCTAAAAACATCAAATAAAAATCAAACAAAAAAAAAAACATTGATTCATCCATCCATTATCTTTACCCACTTCTTCCTTATTTTAAAAAATAAATAAATAAAATAAACTGGCCTTGACAAAAGGATGGTACTTCTCGAAAAGACTAAACTAATTTCCCCACAGAGACATGTTAAACTAAGGTCCTGTGATCAACATCTCAGGTGTCTTCAGTCTGTTTAAATGGTGACAGGTAGTCACAGGGCTGTTTGGTGTCATGGTGTGAACCACACTGAACATGGACCTCAAGAAGCTGAGGACAGAGTCGTCTCAGGAGCTTACAAAGACCATGACTGACATCATGTTAAAGATAAAGACTATAAGATCTTCTCCACGCAGCTGATGTTCCTCTGACTACAGCTGTGCAGATTATTCAGAAGTTCGAGGTTCACAGGACAAGAGGACAACTGAAGAGACAGATAATAGGAATGGTAACCAAAGAGTCCAGAACAACTTCCAAAGAGATTAGAGAACTTAAAGGTCAAAGTTCATCAGTGTCAGATCAAACCATTGATTTGTTTGAGCCACATTGACTTAATGGAAGACGACACAGGACGACACCACATCATAAAAAGCAACAAGAGAATTTGACAAAATACATATTAACAAGCCACAAAGCTTCTGTATCAATGTCTTTTGGACAGATGAGACCAAACTGGAATGTCCTGGTAACAAGTGCCATCAGCTCTGTGTCCATAGACCCTAAACTGTACCTACAATGAAACATTGAAGAGGCTCGGTTCTGTTCTGCAGCTGCTTTGCTGCATCTGACACAGAGAGTCTTCAATCTGGGGGAACAATGAAATCTCAAGACTATCAAGGCATTCTGAGGTGAAACGTACTGCTTGTGTCAGAAGACTTGGCTCAGTCACAGCTCATGGGTCCTCCAAAGGATTATGACCCTAAACACAACTGAAAACAGCCAGAACTGGATCAGGACCAAATATTGGACTTTTCTGCAGTGACCCGCTGAGTCCTGATTTACCGTATTTTTTGGACTATAAGGTGCATTTAAAATGAATTTTCTCAAAAATCGACAGTACTCCTTCTGTATTGATTCTGGTTGTGCTTACTGGCCTCGACCCGATTTTATGTGGTTATTGTGATGAGTTGAATGAAGTTCGACTTATCTGTTTTGTTTCGCCTAATGTGCCTTATAATCTGAAAAATATGGTAAATCCTGTTGAACATTGGTGGAAGGAGCTCTTCAAACCTGAGGCAGCTGGAGCAGTTTGATCATGAGGAGTGGACCAGAGCTCCTGTGGACAGGTGCAGAAGTCTCAGAAGATTTAAAAAAAATCACTGGATTGTCTCAAAAGGTTGAGCAACAGAATGTTAAGTTAGGGGTTCCCTCCTTTTCTTGGAAGGTCATGTATCGGTACATGTCAGTAACAGTTTGTGTTTTGTTGTGCAGGTGTTGTACCTCCCTGGTCAGAACAGGTACACCAGAGCTAACCTGGCATCAAAGAAGGATCGTATTGAAAGCCTGGAGAAAAAGCTAGAGGTGAGAACGCACACGTCAAACCACTGATTTTAAGTCTTAATGTTTATTAAACAGTTAAAATGTAGACCTGTGTCCTCCTGGTCCCTTCAGGTGAACCGTGGTCACATGACAGCAGAGGCTCGACGAGCAGCTAAGCTGGAGAAGAAACTGAAAATCCTTCTGGGGGGGTTTCAGTCCAGAGCTCTGGGGCTCCTGAAGCAGCATAATGAGCTCTGGGAACAGGTACTGAACAGATTCTCATCTCATCTGAGACGATTTATTCCAGAGGTGTGTAGTTTAAAAGTCTCAAGTTCATCGCACTGTTTAAATCTAGTCAGTAAACAGAAAATGTTAAAGTCTGCTGTCCACACTTGATTTGAATTATAGACATAGCTGAAGTAATTTTTAATTGGGGTGTAGAAGTACAGACATTACTTTCTGAATGTTTCACAATCTGTCCATCCAGTGGTTTGAGAGATCCAAAAACAAATTGCTCATAATCCGGCAGCACTCTGAATAAGTACTGTGACTCTCGGCTACTACCACTCCATGATTGAGCTCAGTTTCCGACTGTGTAGCCATATTGTTCACCATCGCAAAGAGAGGAATTGGAAATATTCTCAGTCTGTCCATCCTTCTTGTGAGTATAACTTAAAAAATAAGCGAGGTATCGACTTCCATTTTGGTGTAGATGTAAGAAGGTTCCTCATCAAAAATTGGGCTGCCAAGTCAAAAATCTTATGTGGCCACCCCCATTTATATCTAAACCGGCCACCCCGATCATTTGAGGAAACTATATTTTCTATATTGCCTCAAAGTTGTTTCCTTTGTGGACTTGGAGAAGGCATTCAACCGTGTCCCTCGGGGAACACTGTGGGGGGTACTCTGGGAGTATGGGGTACAAGGCCCTGTGGTACGGGCTGTTAGGTCCCTGTATGACCAGTGTCAGAGCCTGGTTCGCATTGCCGGCAGTAAGTTGGGCTCGTTCCCGGTGAGAGTTGGACTCCGCCAAGGTTGCCCTTTGTCACCGATTCTGTTCATAACTTTTATGGACAGAATTTCTAGGTGCAGCCAAGGTGTTGAAAGGATCCATTTTGGTGGACTTAGGATTGCTTCTCTGTTTTTCGCAGATGATGTGATCCTGTTTGCTTCATCAGGTCGTGATCTACAGCTTTCACTGGAGCGGTTCACAGCCGAGTGTGACGCGGCCGGGATGAGGATCAGTTCCTCCAAATCTGAGGCCATGGTCTTGAGCCGGAAAAGGGTAGAGTGCCCTCTCCAGGTCGTGGAGGAGTTTAACTGTCTTGGGATCTTGTTCACGAATGAGGGAAAAATGGAGCGAGAGATCGATAGGCAGATAGGTGCAGCGTCGGCAGTGAAGCGGGTGCTGTACAGGTCTGTTGTGGTGAAGAGAGAGCTGAGTCAAAAGGCAAAGCTCTCAATTTACCGGTCGATCTACGTTCCTACCCTCATCTATGGTCATGAGCTTTGGGTTGTGACCGAAAGAACAAGATCACGGATACAAGCGGCCGAAATGAGTTTTCTCCGCAGGGTGTCTGGGCTCTCCCTTAGAGATAGGATGAGAAGCTCGATCGTCCGGGAGAGACTCAGAGTAGAGCTGCTGCTTCTTCACATCGAGAGGATCCAGTTGAAGTGGCTCTCTGGACGCCTCCCTGGTGAGGTGTTTCAGACACGTCCCACCGGGAGGAGACCCAGAGGAAGACCCAGGACATGCTGGAGGGACTATATTTCTCAGCTGGCCTGGGAACGCCTCGGGATTCCCCCGGAGGAGCTGGACAAAGTGGCTGGGGAGAGGGAAGTCTGGGCCTCCCTACTTAAGCTGCTACCCCCACGACCCGACCCTGGACAAGCGGAAGAAAATGGATGGATGGATGGTTTCCTCAAATGATCAGGGTGGCTGGAGATTACAATGGTGACCTTGACATCACCTTGCTCCTCCACTGCACCCGGTCACAGATGAAATGTCTCCCTCCACTCACCAGGATCTGAAGCTCTGCTATCTTGGACAATGGAAAAAAAAACCTACCTCTGTTCTTCTCCACAGTTTTACTTATACTCACTTGAATATCTTTCACCAAAAGCATTGTTTACTTGCATTCCAGAAAAACACTCATCTCCAAAACTACAAACATTCACTATTCACACCCCTCAGTGACGGGGGACATCAGGGATATCATCAGTTGATGGTACCCCAAATTATTAGTTTTTATGGTTTCATTAGACTGTCCACTGGTTCATGAGCTATTTGGATAACAAATGAACACGGGAGAAGGCATCATCTCCTTCACCGGTGGAGATCAGATCCTCCTAATGTTTGATGTTCTTGTGTCCACAGGTGGAGCAGGCAGCTACGGAGCTGCAGACTTTCAACCAGCTGAAGAAACAGGAGGATCTGGCCATTCCCAGGAGACATGAGGTGAAACATTCAACACCTCATATGTTTTTCTAGATTTGACCCACTTCAGTTCATAAATATAAACGGGTATTATTTTTTGTTCATTTTAATTCCACGAGTGCTTGATGCACACCGAGTACACATGCACTCAGTTCACAAGACCAGACATATGCTGGTAAAATCTTTCTCTTAAACACTATTGGAGGTTTAGTCACAAACTCACCTGAGCGGCCTCTCCTGCTTGATTTCTCTTCAGACCTGTTAAAACTGCGTGACCTTTGAACTCAGGGTTGAAACTCATTTTCACAAGGAACAATAATTAAAAACCTGATTCCAATCCACAGCCATTATGCTGTATTTTAAATATTGTCATGTTTTTAGACGTCTCCTCAAAGTATTTGTGCAGAAATATGGACCGAATTTTTCTCCGTCAGAAAGAAAACAAGCTCATAAATTAGATTTAAATAAATTTAGACATATTGACATGTGCTGCCTGACATCGTTAGCTGCTAGGAGATTCTGACACGTTGGAAACCTTCAACAAAAATATCAGTTTCACGGTATTAAAAACTAAAATTTAAAAACGCGTGTAGTTTGTTTATAAACAGAAATGCAGATGGTATTAGTGATGCTGTCCTAATAGAACCACACACACTGCTTAATAATGATCTTATTACAGGTACAGGGTTTCTGCAGAAATCAGCCAATCAGATTTAATGATATGATCAGTGTCAGGAACGTGATTACTGGCCCACGTTTGTTCAACTGGTCTACTACCAATCCCTACTTTAGCTCTGATTGTGATTTTTATGTTTGGTGTGTAAAAATCCACACTTTAAACGACAAAATGAAGATGATGCATTGGCTCTGTAGCTCTTTGTGTCAGTGTGGTGTTTGCTTCTTTACTTCAGAGCCTGAGGTCTATCAGCAGAACTGTAAGAGCACGTCTTCTTTCGGCTTTTCCCTCTTCATGGGTCTCCACAGCGAGTCGTCCTCCTCCATATCACTCTGTCCTCTGCATCCTCTGTCCTCACTTCAAGTACCTTCATGTCCGTTTCCCTCCTCGTGGTCTTCAACTAACAGTAGCACAATTTCCACCAGCACCCTGTTTGTCAGCAGCACCTGTGGTGGTCGTTGTTAACCCGGGCCTAGACTGATCCTGTATGGTTTCGCTTTGATGAACTCGCATTATAGTTTTGGTACAAGTGTTTTATGTCAGATGCCCTTCCTGACACAACCCTCACCATTTATCCAGACTTGGCACCAGCACAAGAGATGCATTGTCAACATAGCCTTTGCGGGGTTCAATAGTTTATCGAATCTTTGGTTAACTAATGTTTTAAACTCACTGTTTTGTCGTCACTGATATCGTCTCAGCAATAAATCTGTTTACGACCACAGCCACATGGTGGCACAGACCATACATCACCTCACCTCCTTTATTTTTGCTAAAATCATGCGCAAAATTGGAAATTGCTGATTTTTATTAGAGCCTGACCAATATGGAAATTTCGGCTATCACCAATACCGATATTGGGATGGAGAGGCGGTCGCCGATAACAGATATAATGGCTGGACATTTTTTAGCTTTGTCCACCACCAAGAATCTATGTAAACAGTGAGTGGAGCGGGGCTTGTTTATTTAGCGCACCTGTTAGCAACCATGAAGCTAAGCTAATCAGATCCACACTTTAATTAGTCCCACAGTAAGTTTACAGGTGGTCCAAAATGTTCCTGTAACTTCACAAATGTTGGTACAAACTTCCAACGTATTTTTTTTTTATTCCACACTTGTCCATTTTGGGGGTCATTTTTCATCTCAAATGACAGCGATCAGTGTTATTCTGTGCTTGTTTTAAATAAATAATAACCTTTATTTGACCAGGTAGGTTCATTAAGGGTCAGTTCTTATTTACAATGACGGCCTCTGCAAGGAAATTAAGTTTCTAGACTTCAGAAATTCTGTTTGTACTTGGACACAAAATGACAGAGAAATCTCAATATTTGAATTTGAGGAGTAAATTTAAACTGGAAGCATCGTTTTTGTCTGTTTCAGGCTCTGCGGGAGGACGTGGACAGGCAGATGGAGAGAGAACGAGAACTTCAGCAGAGATACGGAGAGCTGCTGATGGAGAGGGAGTCTCTGCTCAGCAGCTCACAGAAATACTGAGAAACATAAAAATCATTTCAGGCTGACAGCTGACCTGAAACAAGCTCCTCGTTCAGCGTATCCAACCTGCTCTTCTTTTCAGGTTCTAACTCCAGTGATAAGCCCCGCCTCTCTGTGCTGATGTTGCTGTGATGTCACAGGATGTTCTGAGCATGCTCAATAGTCCTCGTTTCTTCTGTACTCAAGTCGTGACCAATAAAGTTTTTCCAACAATAACTCAAAATGCATTTCTGTGGATTTTACTGAAGAACTTTATTAGAAGAAGAAAAGAGAAAAGTGTTTTTACATCGTGAACCTGCTGAAGCGTCAACAGCTGAGAGAAGCCATCCCCGTCCTGCTGCAAGAGCGCTGAGGGAAGAAAACAAGAGTTTGAACTTCTGGTTCAATCTGAGAAGATGTTTAGCTAACAAAGGAATGCATACACCTCCCCTCACCCCTTTTAAAGTAAGCTGCAGTGGGATCAGTTGGGGATGACTCAACTACTCTGGAGTAAACATGAGTTTCATCCCTCTGGGTTTGATAAGCTGTGGCAGCCATATTGAATGAGGTTGACTCCAAAGGTTCATCATTCACCCATTGGTTCACGACATATTTTGCTAACAAACATACAAACGCATGATCACCCACCACGATGAAAGGGTTCCTAACACTTCAACAAACAGCCCCATGTTTCATCAGCCACAAAAGGTGAAAGGGTGAACATGTTTTAGACCACGTGCATGTCTGAGATGCATCTGTCCTCCACTGTTAGCTAAATATTGAATGAAAAGGCAGTCATTGGATGTGCATCTCAAACTGATTCAAGATGGCCACCACAGCCAAGTGACATTGGGAAAACGGACATTAAGATAAAACTGGGGAGTGCAAGTTGTGAACAGCAGAACATTTTTCAAGGTTGGACCAAAACGACTCCAGCTGTCGTTTCTAACGAGAAGATTTTAGTTTAAAACTTCTAAAAGGTGGAGGGTGATATGCATTCAGTGTGGAGTTTGTGTGTGTGAGCGTACTGTGTGTGTGTAGTTGTATCTCCTGATGGCCTCTCTGATGTGGCAGGGCTGGATGGCTCCACTGGGGGGCTCCACTGGGGCTGGGCTGCTCTGAAACACAGACCAGAGCTTCAAAGCACCAATCAGCAACACAACTCATTAAAAGTTGTACTTACTTTTGCTTTAAAGAACAGAAGTTATATTTAGTGATATTGTCCATGGAAGGGGAGACATTCAGTTCATACAGTGTGTTATTGAGCTCATCTACTTTTTGTCACAACCACAAAACTTCAAAGACTTTTACTGGGATTTTATGAGACAAACACGACGTATCACAGGGTTGTTCTGTATCCAGCTCCACCCTTCAGTCAGCTCTGACCTGCGTCTCCGTCACTGCTGAAGAAAACCATCCCCACAGCATGATGCTGCCACCACCATGTTTTACTGTGGGGATGTTCAGGGTGATGTGTTGTTAGTGTTTTGTATTTAGGCCATAAAGTTCAGTTTAGGTCTGAGCTTGGCAGAGCAGCTTCGTCCATGTGTGCTGTGTTCCTACATGACTGTGTCAAACTGCAAACAGAACTTCTTCTGGATTTCTTTCAACAATGAGCAACTTTCTTCCTGCAAGTCCTCCATAAAGACCAGGTTTGTGGAGTGCACATCTAATAGTTGTCCTGTGGACAGATGGTCCTGCCGGAGCTGTGGATCTCTGCAGCTCCTCCAGAGTTATGCTGTCTTGGCAGGTTTGTATTTCACTTTTCAGATTTTTTTTTTAACCGCTCTTGGAGATGTTCAAAACTTGTTTAATAACAACCCTGCTGTAAACTTCTATTGACCTGTCTAATGTGTTCCTTGGTCTTCATGATGATGCATGATAACATGTTCTGTCAAGCCTCAGCTGGATTTATACTGAGGTTAAATTACACAAAGCTGGACTCTGTTAATTAGGTGACCTCTGAAGATCGAGGGGTTTTAGTTCCATGTTTCAGAGTAAACAATGAACACAAATGCACTGAAGCTGCTTTTGTTTCTTTCGGCTGCCCCATTCTTCAGGAGTCACCACAGCAAGCAAACTTGCATTAAAAATGCGGCCCTAGTTTTATGCTGCATGCTCCTGTACAGTCCATTTACCATTTTACATGAAGGTTAATTTAGACATTGGAAAGAACGTTGGGATCAAGGTGTTTGAAAGCAGCTGGAGCACAGCTGGATGATAAAGAAGAGTTCAACATGTGTAAAACACAAAGGACAGGGATGTGAAGGGTTTCCTTTAAACGACGAGACGGGAGGATATCAAGAGAAGAATTTGAAGGTCTTAATTAAAAACTATTCCCTTTAAGACTGAAACAGACAGGCTCAAACTGCTGAAAAACAGCCGAGCATTTCGATGGCTCAGACGAATTTAAAATTACGGCTTTTAAATTCTGCAGCTGGATGGCTGCACAGACTGTAAGTTAATTACTACATCACATCGTTGAAACACAGAGCCAGAAAGTGTTTTACATGTTGGAGTTACAGCTCTTTTACTAAAAGCTTGGCAGCTCAAAGGCACATCAGCAGCCAGTTATCTTTAACCCCCATTCTGCGTGAGTCCACTCAGAAACCACACTGAGGTGGCCAGAAGGTATCAGAGTTCAGGCTTGAAGTGTTTTGGGGAGTTGAATTTTGTTCTGGTCTAAGACATCAAATCCCAGTAAAATCTCTTGAATCTTGAGTTCGAAGGAGCCGCCACACTTCAAGATTTTCCCAAAATGTTTCAGACACAGCTTCACATCTGTTGCCTTTGATCGTGAACATGCTAAATTAGATCTCGGGTTTAAACTCACAAACTAAAACTTTCATGCAAACTTTCACGACACGATTGTTTATAACTGATAGAATCTGCAGTGTGAAAACGAGCCTAGCAGCTCAAGTCTAATTAAAAGTATGCACTTTAGAAATAAGTGGTCACTACAGCCACGTGTTGATGGGAACAGAAATGGATGTTTTGAAGTCAAACTTGTATTTTTTTATTTTTTTTTAATATCTATAACCAAGGGATTACAGTCAGATAAAAGATTTCTGTTTAAATCAATACTGTTATAATTGATGTGAGGACTTTATCTTAATTTTAGGCACTTTAATCTTCTTTCTCATGATTTCTAAAACGCATAAAAATGCAGGAAATGCAGGAAAGAATGAACTGATTACCGTACATAGTTTACAAATGATGAATTTTAGCACTACTGATATATAAAGTGGAGATACTGTAGTTAAAATTAAAGTCTGCCGCCTGACGGTACCTTTTTGCGTTTCCTCTGCCGGACTCTGCTGTCCACGCTGCCGTTCCCCTGCAGGAGGGGCTTTGAAGAGTGCGAGGACCCTGGAGTGGAGGGGGGCGTCGCCTCAGGTGAGTCCGGGTCCTTCTTCACCTGCAACAACCCGTCTGATTATTGGAATTCTGCAATTATGTAGTGCCTGAAAGAGCTGGGAGTTTACCTCTGTGTGTGTGTTGTAGTGGATGTAGCTGGCAGAGATCACATGACTGACAGGATTTGTCTTCACAGTCATTTCTTGTTTCACCAACAGGGACAAGTCCACTATCTGGAGAAGTTAAACAGGACACCCAGTGTGTTGATCGATATCTTAACTTGTCATAATAGTAGGATTTCAACAGAAATGGAAGTTTTCATCACCACAGCCATTAGTCTTTATAATAACTGACTGAAAATTAATAATTTTGTCTTTAAAAGTCCCATGTAATGAACATTCAAAATATAAAAAATAAAGACAACAGTATAAGGGTATAACAGTAGACAAATCTGTACATATTCCTTTTTAAGTTATAGTTACTGTTAAAGAGGCAGGAAGTGGCAGTGATTGAAACTACTGCATCAATTTTAACATTTAAAACGGTGAACGTGTGTGAACTGTTCTAAACAGGATGGATGGCTGGAAGGGTGGATGGATGGCTGGAAGGGTGGATGGATGGATGAAAAGGTGGATGGATGGATGGAAAGGTGGACGTATTGATGGAAGGGTGGGAGGAAGGATGGAAGGGTGAATGGATGGAAGGATGGAGGGTGAGTGGATGGATAAGTGGATGGATGGATGGATGGATGGATGGGTGAGTGGAAGAGTGAATGGATGAGTGAGTGGATGGATGGATGGATGGATGGATGGATGGATGG